AAAAGCAAGTAAACAAAAAATACACATAGGAACTATTGCAGGGCACTTCCCTGATGTGACTCTTGCTATTATACCTCTGCCATCTGTCCTCCCCACTGGATCTAGTAGCATAGGAAAATTCAGGAGGTTTTTAGTCTTACCTGCTGCTCAAAGGAAGGCAACCTGCAGGGTCAGAGCAGATTGCTCAGGACTTTATCCAGTGGATCTTGAAAAACTCCCAAGGTAGGAAAATGTACAACTTCCCCAGGCAACCTGTGTCACTGCTGGGTGTGAAACTATTATTTATGTCTAGCCTGCACCTCCCTTTTCAACTTGTGCCCAACCTCCCACCACACGTGACTGTGGAGAGCCTGGACCCATGTTCTTTATGACCTTATGATGCTGGGGGACTGCTGTGAGGTCCCCCAGTAGCCCTCTCTCCTTCAGGGTGAACAAGCCCCGCTCCCTCTTCCTCTCTTCACAGGGCAAGTGCTCCGGCCCCCCACCAGTGGGGTGGCCTTTGCTGGACCTGCTGGCCAATATCTTTCCTGTCCAGAGGTCCCAAAACTGGATGCAGCAGCTAGGTGTGGCTGGCTGAGTAGGGAAGAGCTGCTTCTGTCAATCTAGTGACCATGCTTGCTTCACCCAGCTGGGAGGCTGTTGTCCCTCTCTGCTGCCAGGACACACCACCACCTCTTGTTCTTGGTGTGCAAGACCTGTATCCCCTTCAGCAGAGCCACTCCCCAGCCCAGCATTCCCCAGCCTCTAGCACTGCAAGGGGCACTTCCTTCCCAGGCACCAAGCTCTACACCTGCCCTTGAATTTCATAAAGGGTTCCTATCACCTCATTCCTGCAGCCTGTCCAGGTTGCCCTGAATGACAGACCTTCCCTCCCGTGTATTGAGTGGTTCATGTCATTCGGCATTACTTGTAAACTTGATGAGAGAGTTCTCAGTATACTTCTCCAGGTCACTGACAATTTTGTTTAACAGGAAAAGATCCAGGACAAATCAGTTTTTGCATAGAGCAAGACCCCTCAACCACTTCCATGTGATCCCTGTCATTCAGACAATTTCTTACCTACTGTGTTCTTCACTAGAATTTTACGTTTCTTTTATAATATCATAGAATCAATGGTTTGGGTTGGAAGGGACCTTAGAGATCCTGCGATGGACAGGGACACCTTCCACTAGACCAGGTTGGCTCAAGGCTCCATGCAGCCTGGCCTTGAAATACATTACCAGGGATGAGGCATTCACAGCTTCTCTGGACAACCTGTACCAGTGTCCCACTACCCCCACAGTGAAGAATTTCTTCCTAATGTTGTATTAGTCAAATTGTATTCACTGGAATGTTTAGGACCTTTGCTATTCTTTGCAATACAAACTGTTCACTCGCCTGCTAGATATAAGGAACATCCAAGTTGCCCAATCAAATCCAACAGTCAGGAGAAATCACGTTACCCAGAACAACGCTTTATGCAGTATTTAAATCATACAACCATTTTAAAGAACTTTGCCACTATTTAAAACTAGTTTATTAGATGTAATACTTGCTATATTAAAAGAAAAAAATCCATCTAATTAACCCCTCCTTGTATAAGTTAGTATATAAATAAGGAAACTATAATAGCATAGCAGAGGGGTTTTAATGCCTCATAAAGCTGTACAGCAATTACTCTGTACCATAACTAACTTGAAAAATCTTAAGAATATTACTTGGATGATGCTACGACTGTCAAAATTATATTTCTCATTCTAAGTATAGTTTTGTGATTTCCTAATAATAAAGGAAGTAGGTGTATTGCCACCTAGGCTGACAATTCAAGTTATTCATGAAAGGAATTTCTCACTCTATGGTTCATGAACCATTAGCAATCAGTAAGACATCAAATAATGATTTAAAATTCCCTCTTTCCTACTCAATGCCTCCAGACTAAAATATAAAAGCATATTTTAAATGTAGTTGCAATCTTACGCATTTGTAAATAGAAAACTTTGTTTGGGCAACATCTCAAAAAGCTCTACCATTTTTTATTTTACATTTGCCTCATTTAAAAAAAGTTGGGTACATGAATCTCGTACAAATACAGTATGATGATGACAAAAGAAAAGTGCCACTTTTTCTTTTCATAACTATATCCTATACCAGACCAAAACTGAGTATAAACTCAATAAAGTGGATAAATTCGAGACATTGGGGTGGTGTGTGCTGTTTAATCTTTTTTTTTACTTGTCTTCCTATTTATGCAACATAATTAAATTAAGACCTGTAATTTGCTTTGGCATTATATTTGCTGTCTTGATCTGATTTGGAAAATTAAGTAAAAATAAATAAATAAATAAATAAATAAATGGAAGAAAACCGTTTTTTTTTTAAGTGTGCCCCAGTACAGATGCAAAATTCCACATGGGATCTTGAAAAGTAGCGTGTATATGTATAAACGTGTGTGCTTACATATACATACACACACAATCTGCTGCTTGAAAGTAATCACTGAAATGACAAAGTTAAAAAGTCCTAAGACTGTCCTGGTCATGGTGCCAATTCACAAATATGTCTTTGAACCTACACAACAGAACCTGCTGTTTATGACCCAAGGAACACAGTAGTTTTGTCATCATTCAACTAAAAAGTTCTGGAAGGTGTTCCTGGTGATTTAGTGCCAATCTACCAGGCTGCTTGTCAAAGTCAGAGAGACTGGCAGACAGAAGCTCACAGAAGAGTATGAATTAAGATAAGGCCCTAAAGCCCAACATGCAGGAAGTGAGGCTCCTAAGGAAGTCAGTAATAACCTCAGCTGGTGAATGTCTTTAAGTTGTTTTGACATCATTTCAAGGACTTAAGCTGACCAGAGCTCAGTACTCAGGCCCAGGGATCTCACAGGCTTTATCAACTTCCATGCTGCAGCAAGGGGCAGCTCCAGCAAGAAGCAGAGCAAGTGCCATCACCTCCTCAGCCCAGCTTCATCACCAGTCTCATCTGAGTAGCAGGTCAGATATTGGGATTTTCACATCAAGGCTGATGAGGCACCTGACAACCACAGCTACTGGATCAGGCTTTTCAGGGAACTTAAAGACACCAGATACCAAATCTGTTGGTCTAAGGATAAGGGTAGAACCGAGCAAAGACCTTGCAAGAAGAAAGTAGTTTTACACCTAGACAAAAACAAAAATCCAAATGCATAGGAGAGTAAATTTTTACCTTTAAAATTACCTAAGAGATCAGGCAAAGGTTTTGTGAATTGTGCCCTAATTTTTATGTCTCAATTCTACCCATGTCCCACCCTAAGCCAGCAAAAGTTTTGCAAGTTGCCCTTATGCATAGGCGGATAGCTGGATTTACTGGGTCTTTTTGTGGACCTGCCTAAGTCTGCTGTATCAAGGGTAAAGAATGAAGTATCGGTAGAACTCCCATGGACCAAGACAGATAAGCAGATAAGCAAGCTCTGCTCCATTAAATAAACTGGGAATCACCCACAGCAATGACAAATAAATGCACTCAGTCCTGCCTGACTTCTAAAGCTGTAGAGGATAACTGGGACTGGTTATCATGTCAGGGGAAAACTACCTGGGAATTCCTAAGCTAAGAAGTTACAGATGAACATTTTCTGAACATTAAAGCAACACACGAAAAATGAGTCTGCCTGCTGCTGGTAGTATGAATGGACAGAAATTGCACCAGAATAAATCAACCTCTATGCACTTTTCTTACACATAAAAAGCTTATGCATCTGACAAGTAAAGAAAGTAGTCTCAAGAGGCTGCATATTTTTAAGATTAAATTACCAGGCTATGCTGTTAGAAATATTCTTCCTAGCCCAGCTGAGCATCAGTCCGAGTGCTGTTCTGCAAGGCAGTCTCCAAAGGCTTCCTTAGCCTGCCATGTTGACTATCAGCAACAACAAACTGAGCAGCATTACAAGATTGGCCTTTCCCCGTCCTTTGTTCATACTTCCAAACAACACTTAGCAGGTAAAGCAAGTTTTGCGAGTAAACAGACAAGAAAAAATATGCTATTGTATGTGTGAAGTTATGGCACTGGACATACAACAGGGATGCTTTCACAACTTGCTACTCATTAGCTTCATTAATTTCACAGCATTTTCCAGAGATAGGACTGGCCAGCTAATTTGTTGAATTTTTAAATTTGTTAATACATCAAATTTGTTAATTGGTCAGTAGTCTGCTCTGAAAATAATGGAGAAAGCAGAACTAGAACTCAGTTTTAGTTCTTTTTGTTAAGAAGGAAAATCTCCCTTATAAAGTCAGAAAAAAAGTGTTTCATCCAAAATAATCAGATACAAATAATTACATCAGGAAGGAAGTTATCAGCAACAGAATCTCACAAAAAACCCAAACCCTTTACTTCTTACAAAGACATGAGAAGTTCACTTTAAAGAACAGAACAAGTAGCCATCTTTAATGCATTTGTTTCAACTGATATTTTAGAATAGTACTTCATTTTACTCAGGAAACAAAAAGGCAATCATACAAAAACAACAGCTAGTCAGTTCAAAATCATCAGACAGGATGATTTTGCTACCTACCATTCACATCAGTTTTGCTTTTGCAGAATGACTCATATCACATACACGTTCCACTTCAGAAAATTAGGACCCCCACCATCTCACTTCTCTCCTCCCAAAATGAAAACTGTCATGATTTCATTTTTTGCTAATACAGACTGATATACCAGTGAAATGAGTGACTAACCTTTGATGTGCATTAATTGATGGCCACTCCTTTAACAAGAACCAATTAAAGCTACTGCATAGGAATAAACTATTTTCTTTAAAGCTTCTTGTATTACAGCATTAGTTAAATGATGCAAGTGTAGTACTCATACAGTGTATGCTATTCCCAGGCAGATTTTTCCCAACAGTCCTTTTTGCTTTATCCAGTCAAATTGTGTCATGTGTCTTGCCACTCTTAATTGCAATGAAGTCTCTAAACTATGTAAAATTAGTATTTCCTTTTAGGATCAACTAAAAATTTTTTCATCTCCCTTTAATGAAAGTAAGGGAATTGTGACAAAGTCTCAGGAACCTGGTAAAAAATAATTCATATTCTTTCGTCCTTTCAAGGAAAAATCCATATAATCTGGACAGCCACCACAGATGAACTACAAATGCATGTTCTGGTGGATAAATAATTAAAGCATTCAACCTCCTATTAACTGCTCTTAGCCACTTACCTCTGGCTAAATAACCTAGAAAATGGAATATCTAAATTTTATATTTGTAGCATTTCAAGTTGTTTGTTGTACCTCAAACGACAGAGCCTGAATGGACAGCAGGAAGTTTTTCAGTCTTGCACTGAATCCACTATACTGTCTCATCTCATCATCATCCTCTTAGGAGAGTTAATTCATCTGCAGACAATTTACCACTAGGAATCTGTAACAGCCAAGTGCCCCAAACTGCACCTACTCCCAGCCGTCAGCTGAAACTTGTCCTCTTTAAAGTCTGAGATCCATGACTTCAGCACTCCCCAAAGCCAGTCCTAGGTTGCTAGGATGTATAGAAGTATGTACATATACTTTGGGATATGAAGCATAATGCAGAGATGTGAGCATTACTGGAGAACTAAGCCAGGAAGCGCACACAGAGCCATATGCAAAGCAGGTACCCTCCTGTTTGTTCCCTGCTGAGTCAGTCCTACACTAGACTCACATGACTGGTGTAGGATCTGAACAACTGCAGCCAATAAAATCCATCTCAACTCCACGCCACATGGAACTACCTTCTTCAGGTCCACTGCTATGAAAACCCCTGCACTATCCCAACTGCTACAGAGTAAACATACTCTATGACTTGAAGCATGTCTAAATGACTATTTGACAATCTCAGAGATCCTTTAATATGCAAAAGAACTAACTAAAACCAAGAATCTTCTCCTTCATAGCTCCAAGCCCCATATATACAGTTAATGAAAACTGCAGTCTGTAGTCCCATTAGTCCTTTTGTCTGGAGTTGCAGCTTTCAAACTACACTCATGAACAAACCCTACTACTTCACAAATGAACAGACTCAAGGGTACGGTGGTGCTGGAAACTTGTACAGCATCTGCCATATTTCCTGTGAATCATCACACTGTCACAGATTTTCTCTGGCAACCCTAAATATAGAGTTGTTTCTTCATTAATGAAGAACTATACATTTAAGACTAATTTTTGAATTTTATTTTAAAAGATCCAAAATTTAATGAAAGAAGCAACTACTTCTGCAAAAAAAAACCCCAGACAGTTAGAGAACTTTTTCAAAGTTTGTAAGGGATCATGATTCAATAAAAATACACTAAAATTGAGACAGAATCATAATACATCTTGAGTTGGAAGGAACCCATAAGGATCATCAAGTACAACTCTATGCTCCTTGCAGGAGCATAACTGTACATAACTTTACATAACTGTAAAAGATATCAGTTTGCTTTAGATGATCTTAAAATTTTAATTATGACAATAAATATGAATAAGAAACTGTGCAGAGCAAGTAGACATGAAAGCCATTGTGCAATGTATCTGCTGCATCTCCTCTGACCCAAGCCTTCGGATTTCAGTTTTTGGCACTGGATTCCAACAAGTCTTTTGCTTCATTTATTTTTGTTGCTAAGTAAGGCGATCCACCTGAGAAGAGAAAGGGAAAGGGAATACTGTTTACACATCAGTATTAAGTACCAAACTACTTCACTTGTAGTATTCCTTTATTACTCACTTTTATTAGCTCCTTCTTCCTACACAGATCCTTTTGATACAACTGCTTAATAAATTACATTGATAAGAAAAAAACTAATTGATAAGGAAACATGAGAAATGTAATCAAAACTGAAGTCACTGAAGAACAACACTGAACATTTTGTCTCGGAGAGAAGACTGAAATTTGAAAACACTTTACATCACTGTGATTTAGACCTGCAGTGCAATGCTTCTGCAAATGTATGCAAGGTCAGCTGTCTTAAATATTCACTCAAACCAAACAGCTAGTATTTCCACTCATCCCAAAAACTGAAAAGGAAAATTTTAAAATAATTTTGACAAAGAATTATTGTGTGCACATGCACACCTTGCCCCGCAAGCCTCTCCTGCGCTGGGTGCCCAAAATTACCAGCCAGAAACCATCCCATTAAAGCTGTTTAAACATGGTAAGCCTTCTAACTTCTAGTCCTGAACACTGTCATTGCTTTACGCTCCATCTAACAATCTGATCACAGTTCAGCAATCTTTTTGTGTTTGGTTTTTTTTTACTCTCCCCTTGAGTGCCAAATCTGTCTGCAGTCACCAAAAACAACATTACAAGGTCTGTATCAGTAACTTATTACTTACTATTACACATCTATATTTTTTACGTTAGAATGTGATTCCAGCAGTACTGTGCACTGAACAGCCTTTTCCAAGGCATCTGTTCAAACGTATTTTTCATTCACCATTTCATTCATTCTATTAATCAGAAAAGACAATGATAGACGAAACATATAGAGCTACTTGTAGACATACATAAATAAAGACAAAAAGGCAAGGCTTGCTTAAAGACTTCTTTAGGACAATCCTGCAGGAATCCAAATCAGTATAAAGTCATTTCATGGTGCAGTAAAACAACTGGAAAAAGTAATGAAGTTCTTTTTGGTCTTGTTTGAATGTAGCCTTAATAGGTAAGACACACTGGAGGAAAGTGAGGCAGGGCAAGGGATGGGTAACGAATTGGCTACTTAAAAAAGAATTTATTTTTTCCCTTTTTTAAAATCAAGTAGCTTTTAGCAAGGAATAGGATTTACTACATTGAGTATTGCTTCTTTCAGAGTAGATAAGAGGATCAAACAAACAGTAAAGACAAAAACCTGCAATGAACAATGTATTCCAAGTAATTTTTAAATGTGCATTGATTTTCTATCTGTCTAAAGTACAGGATCTTTAAGTAAATTCAAATCTGTTAGAAGTGTTTTCACTACATTTACATCCTTAAGTGCCATATTAATTTTGTAGCCCTCCAATGAGAGGAAATTCAACCTCATGATTGCCTGTTTGTTTATAATTAGGGCAAGTCCAAAAGGCTTCTCTCTTCCTCTTTTTCTGTGAAGAAATACTCTTTCCTAAAATTAGTAACTGATAAATTAACACAATACACAACACAATATATCTATACAATATATCAATATAAAAACACTTTGAACTGTAAAAGTTCATGAGCAACTGTTTTAGTAGTACTCATTGAGGATGTTATTAGGCAAATTTCTATATATTTATTTACTTCTAATAATTTTCTCTTCAACAGTTTGGATCTCAGATAACATATGTAACTTAAAAAATCTGTAATTAATGACCTTTCTTTTATCAACTCCAGTTGGTAAAATATTATTTTAAAATGACATTACAATGTTGAATATAGTTTTTAAAAGCACATTTGTGCCACCCACAGCCAGAAGAAATCAAGATCTATACACAAGTAAACAAGTCTCTCCGTGATGCCTCATGTTCAAGATTACTCCAGGCCCTTGCTCTGCAGCTGAACATATTACACAAGCCTTTTTTCTACAGCCATGCCAGAAGAGCTTCAGGGGCAGCACAGAGGCACAAATCCCTTCAACTGGTGTTCCTGGAGAAAGTGCTCCATCTTAATACCATGCAGGAGGGCTCACCGCATCCATCCAAACCTACGCTGTGCCCAGCTGCATGTGCACTACAGCTTAAGAGCAGTCACTAAAATCTTTGTTAGGGTCATTAGGATCTTCCTAACAGGAACTCTCTCTTTAGGTCTACTCAATAACCACACAGGGATTCACAGTTCTTTCTGGCTCACATCTCCAAATACTGTTACAATAAACTTAGAAGTTCAGCATTAAAAAATTTTGACCTAATAGGTACTCTGGTGGTTAAGAGGCCTTTGACCATTATAATATATTAGAAATGCAGAAGAGAATTTCTTTCCTATGTTTGTGCAGCTTACACATTATAAAAAGTGTAAAAAATGAAAGTGTGAAATCAAATAATCAGGACAACTTTAAAATTAAACTGAGGGGTGAAGACAGAAAAGAAACACTCAACTGAACACTTTCCATTGCCAGTGGTCACAGTTATCTTTTCATTTTCTTAAAATGGGGTGCTGGCAGGGAGCCCTGTAATTCTGTCAAAAAGATATAAAACCCCTCCAATTTCCCCTTTTGACTTCTGAAATACAGTGCAACTCTTCACCATCTGTTATTTTAAAGTAGAAACAGCAATGAACATATGGGCTTTCTTTCTCAACCAGCTGTAGTGTAGTTAAAGTTATAATAATAGCCTTTCTCTAAGATAAATTTACATTAAAAACCTGGCCAGTAAAGCAACAGTGCCCAGCTTTACATTCTTTCCAAGTGAACTCCATAAAGTCTGAAATTCATCAATGATGTACTTAGTAACTGCAGAACATTTCATCACAGAAAGTAATTTTCATGCACGTGACTGGTTCATCACAGTTCAAAACAGGAATGTTAGTAATGTAAAATTTTTACAGCTTATTTTTGAATAAGTTTTTGCCAAGTGTGGTAAGCTGGTCCCTGAGATCATAGTTTTAACTGAAGCAGTACAAGTACAGAAAACAACACTGAAGAAAGATGAGTAAAACTGTGGTTCATAAAGCCCAGTTTATGTGAGAGAAGACACACAGAAGGTCAAGTCAATAAATAAACAAAAAACATTTGCACTCAATGTTATTTACACAGTCAGAAAACTTAAATGATCTCATTTAAACCTCTTCCTTTCCAGCCCTCGTTAAGAAGAGTAATAAGCATTTACCTTTATCAGGATGATTCAAAATCATGATTTTTCTATGGGCTATTCGGATTTTGTCCCTGCCAGCAGATGGACTGCAAAATAAATATAAGTGCTTACCAGAAATGCGAAAGCGCTCAGGCTAAAAATTAACAGATTATACTGGCTTCAAAAACATTAAAACTTGAAATTTTCACCATCTTGTGGACAAAACATTAAACTGCATCTCTAAGGCAGTAACAATAACAAAGGCGTGTAAGACACATTTTTCAAAAGCCTGTGTATTTCACACATACAAATATCTTTCAGGTTTTTGTTAAACACAATGCATCCACTCATTTAAAATAAACAATTTTGAGAGGGTGGAATAAAAAAAATGAAAGCCCCAGCAGTTGTAGGGTGGTTATTCTAGCATTAAGTGCAGAAAAAACAATTCTTGCTCCGAGAAAATAAATATTTTTATGACCAGTGACAAAACAACAAATATTTAATATTATCGCATTTTGTTCTACTGTAAATATTTTTATAGCTGCTATAAATATTTTCTCTTTCTGCTGGGGCCTGAAAAAAACCCTGCATGTTGTTATTTTTGCAAAGCCATTCAGTGTGTTACATTCAGGGATATGCTGATTTACAGGTCCTACCTACATAATATTGTTTCCTTCAATGACAGATACATAAAATATGTATTCGGCCTAAACTAAATACGTCCCTTACCAGACAAACAACCACTTATGGATGCAGTATGCCAACACAGTAGGGCTATCATATGCAAAAGGATGGTTTGAATGCTTCGGTTTTTTATAATTTGTTAGTATGCAGAAATGAATCAGTGTTTTCCACTTCAGGTGACTTCTTAATCAGAGCGATGATTCAATTAATTAATCTTTCTGTAGATACAGTTTGAATGCAAGGTATCAGCCTAACTAAATTCCCGAGGTAAACAACCTCTCTTAATTATTATTCTGTCACAGTGAAATTAGGGTATGTTGCAAAAATAGTTCACAGAACTGCATAAGAAAAGAATACTTCAATGGAACACAAAGTAGACTAGAAAGTAAGAATCAAACAGAGGGTGAAAGGCCTTGAACCATATAAATACAAAAACGAAACGATCTGTTGTCAGACAACTGAAAAAAATAATCATCTATATTTTGATTTGCAAAGCTGTTTTTTAATAATAAAAAGGAAAGCTGATATACCGCATTTAGAAACGCTGATGGTCAAAGCACAACTGGGGAGAAGTGGCAGTTGCATATTACAAAAAATTGTGCAGGTCTGTTCTGAGAAGCAAATGTGAAAATGGTTTACATTAAATTTCCTTGGTTTAGGAGATATTGCTTATCCCACAGTTAGACTGGTCCCTAAAAATTCTTAACGACTATAAAAAAAAAATATATGTCAAAATCACATTTTCCTTGACTCACAATCTGAGTCACATCAACGTTATGCTGCCTTCAACATCAAGTGGCTGAGAAGTCTATCACCTTGGTGGGAACAGTCAATATGCTGGAGGGCAGGGCTGCCATTCAGGGGGATCTGGGGAGGCTGTAGGAGTGGGGTGATAGGAACCCTTCACAAAACTCCTCAAGGACAGGCACAGAGCTCAGTTCTTGGGAAGGAACTGTTCCTTGCAGCTCTAGAAGGTGGGGAATGCCAGGCTGGGGAGTGGCTCTGCTGAAAGGGACTCAGGGCACAGCAAGAACATTCCTCCACTGCAGTATGTTACTATGCCTCTAATACAAACACAAATCACATGGTTTATGAGCATTTTATTGTTTGCTTTTTAGTTTAAGCAGAATATTAGAATAATTTATAAGCCAATACAAGTCTTACAAAAAAAAGTCTCTTACATGGTTTCAGCATGAGTATTCCACATTCTTGCAACACGCATCTCCTTCATTCAATACTTGCTAAACTAAAACATATTGATGCAATGCACCTACCTTACTCCTAAAATAAGACTAGCTTCTCTCCTATTCATTTTCTGTTCAAATCCTCCCTTATAGTATGATGAAAAACTCTAAAAAGAAGAAGGGAAAAAAAGCAATAATTAGTTTCATGTACAAGGTGCCAGGAACTAAATCGTATTTATATGACCTCATTGAGAGCATTAAATTCATCTATAATTTATTTCAAAGGCATGGAATGACTGCAAACCAGATAATATGAAAGGACTTCTCCTGAGTGTTAACACATGCAAAAACTGACTTAAAAATAACTATCTGTGTTTTTAAAACATTCCTTTCTATGTTTTTACAATCTTCTACAGTTAAAAAGATATATTAATAGCTACAACCCTTAAAATCCTGCCTGCAGGTAAAAAGGTCCAGAATCAAAGTACATACTAGCACAGAGTAGTACAGTGTTTGTGCTGGGGAGGGCAGGGGAAGGAACTATGCTGAGGACAGCATAGGTACCATCACAATGAAAAAAGACCAAGTATTGTCATCCAAGGAAATTAATGACAATGACTCCAAATATTTCTACAAAGACAGTAGGTAAAAACAACAACAGAGATAAGAACAGATAAATACAACGTACTGATGAATAGGCAGTATCTTTTTTCCACTTGAAGGAATTTTACTTAAAAAAAATATACCATGAGTTCTTTAAAGGAAACCCGGAAATTAACAAAAAGAAACAATTAAAAGGCTTAGCATAAAGCCACAACCTCTGTTTCAGAAAAATCACTGAGCTGGAGAACACTGGAAAGTAGCAAAGTATATGGGGAAATCCTAAACAACTTTTGCCTTTACATCTTTCCCTCGACACCAATGACTGACAATGATTGAATACAGGATCTGAGGCTAGTTTTTTAAACTTCTTGTCATGTGAGACTTTATCCACTGTTTTAAGAAGGGAAGAAAAAACAGTGGGAAAAAAAACATTTAAAAAGAGGAGATGGAGATAAGAGCAAAACATTACAAAAATTAATTGTCACAGGAAATGGGTCAAAGGCATATTTGTCAACTATAGATCTATTTTAAATTAAAAAAAAATAATTTACTGAACCACTACCGATGGTTAGCAGTGATCTCACAGTAAACCTTTCTCTAAGTCCCAGAGGCAGTAGATGTAGCTCCAAGACAGCCTGCCTAGGGGAACTGGAACACAGAAATCACCCAACAAGACTGATTTTTTTTCCTCAATGCAAAACCTATCAATGGGAAAAATAAGCTTCTTTTGCTGCTATCAAAGGGAAGTCTGGGCATGAGAGTTGAGATTATTTTCAAGTGTTCCTTTCACCCCCAAGGAAAAATATGCCCGGCCCTTAATAAAACACTCTTCTCACAATTCAGTGAGAATTTTGCCTTATGTCTACACAAACTCTCTTATGTAATTTCAAAAGCATTAAAGCATTTAAAGGCTCTGTCTATGAAATCTAAGCAAATCCTTTAATTAAACTTAGAAGAGACATTCTTTCAAAAGTGTGGTTCAGAAACACTTTACCTATTGCTGCCATAAAGTCACATACAGCCGCAGAAAAGATTTTCTCGTGTGCTGTTATGATCCAAAACTAATTTTACCTTCCTTCTTTCCACCGCAAAACATGCACAAAACAACCACTACTGTAACACTGCAGGTTATCAAAGCTGAAGTAATTCTGGACACTGTGTGCCTACAACAAAAATCTGTTGAAGAACCGCTTCTATAGCTACAGGGTAACACAAACCAGGTCTGTAACACTGCACATCGACATTACAGGTTAGAGTATGTAACATGAAGGGAACACACAGGGCTTCTCTGATTCTCTGAGAGGAAATGATACTAATAATTTAATGGTCAACAGATAACCCCCTTGAGGAGGCAGAACTGCACAGAAATTTGCAATGATGCCAAACAACTACTACAGCCAGGAAAGAAAAGCACAATTTAATGTCCTCTGAAAGATTTTTCCAGAGCTTCTCTCAAAGTAGTCTAGGTACAGTTGGTTTCCTGAAAAGGTTAATTCTTTTCTGCCCTTCAACTCTGATACACAAGTCTAACACATGATAACTCTGGTTCACTATTCACATAGAGAAGAGTAATATTTGAATTATCTCTACCACGGCTTGTCTCTGTTCTTGGTAGATTTCATCTATAATACTATTTGAAATATAAGAATAGGGAGGAACGGCTATAGGTTTACAGTCAGAGATATTTTTTCACGTTTTTAAAGCCTACTTTCTTGACACTGTTCTAATCTCAGGAAGCCTTGATTCGGTTCACTTCCAAGAGGAATGAAAAAAGAAATTTTGGTGTCTGTGTCCTTTCATACATAAACAAAGAAGTTTGATGAACTGGTCTTCAAGGAAAAAAAAAATTTCCTCAGAAATGAAGGATATAGCAAGAGTAATAAATTCTTAAATTAAAATCTTCATCCTAAACAGAATTGATAGTAAAAGGAAATCAGACATAAAAGCCATTTTTCCTACTGGTTACAAAAAAAGGGGAAGAATCATTGAGCACTCATTTTATGAAACACCTTGGCAAATTTCTAATTCTCTAATGAAACAACTTTTGCATGCTACTCAGACTAAAGCACTTTTTCCTAGTTGTAAATTTTAAGTAATGGCTGTAATGATATTTTTCTGCTATGAGAACTCCTCAGTGAGCAGGCAGCTCTAGATACTTGATTATTTATTAACTCCAGCAATTGCAAAGAAAATTCAGTACCAAAAAAATCATTGAAATGAGCTCTCCATTTCTTTGCACTATTTGGGGGGAGGGGAGGCTATCATTTAATTTACTTAATTTTCTTGCAAATTATTACTGCTTAGCAACTTATGTAAGCAAATTCTCCTTCCTGAACAAATGCTATTAATAGGTTTGGAGCATGGGAAGGGACAGAAAATGGTTGCACTTGCTTTGCAAATGTGTATTCAGTCTTGCAAATTTTCACAAAAGCAATCAGCTAGGAAAATCCAATGCGTATGGTCGATGGACATCTTCAAGATACTTCTTCTGGCATAGCATAGGAAAAGCATGATCATCGTTTCCATGCCAGTTAAGAGACTGAAAATACCAAAACTGAGACCATCACATGGAGTAGTGCATTCTTCTGAAAACTCAGGATGTTGTTGTTCCAGCACCAATAAAGTCCTCCATTGAAAAGGTAAAAAACATTGGAAGAAAAAAAAACCAAACATAAAACCCAAACTACAATAATAAACTATTTAGAAGCTGTTTTATAATACAAAGCACAATTTTGCTAACATCAACCTCCTTAAATTTAGTCAGGAAAAAAAATAAAATGGCCCACAAATCACACTGTTCTCTGGAAATTTGATTTTCAATTAAGAACAAGAGAGATGGTTGCTACCCTTACCTCTCAATTCAGAACCCTATCAGTCTGAGCAGAATCAGATCCAATAAGGGAAACATATTGCAAAAGTCTAATAAAGTGCTAGAGAAGACATCCTTTTCTTACAGAATACAGAATTTTCAGGATTGTGGGATTTGAGTATTTTGACAGTTCATTTGGCCTAGAATTGCTGTTTCTGCCTTCAATATCTTTGTTCTATCTATCTACCTACCTATCTTTCTATCTGCCTATCAAGCTTCAATATCATTAATTCAACAGAGAAAGGTAATGAATGCTACTGAAATACTTGCCTTTTTATTTCACATATTAAGGACATATTAACATTATAATTAATGGCATTTATTCTGAGGAAGAAAAGCCAGTTGACTACTTAGTGCCATGCACCTTTTACTGGCAACAGACTCTTGCCACTACACACAGAAACAAAACAGTGTCACTGACATTTGTGATGACAGTGACAAAGCTAGGTTCAAACTGAAAAAGCATTTCTCTGGAAGTGAGCATTATGACTTTTCATAAAGGGGAAATGACAATGTTTCCTCTAACGTCTTTCTCCACTGAAATAAAAACGGCAGAAAACTTCAAGGCTAAATTACAACAGCATTTACAAATATATATTCTTAAATATGAAGCAACTGCTTTTAGTTGAAGTTAAATGAGAGGTAAAAATTCAGAATAAAACATAACTCTTTTACTTGCCTTTACTTAATATTTTTGACTAAAAGATGACTGCACTTGTTGACTGTTTACGCTACTTACTTAGGTAAGTAAATAAGAAGTGTCAAATACTCAAGATACACCAAGCAGCATTTTAAATGATCGCTTCGTAATTGCTCGACTTGACCTTTTTGAAGTCATTTGTTAGTGAGCAGGAAGAAAGAATAAATAGCATCTGTATTATCTTGTGTGACTGGGAGGGACCAACATGAATTGTGACTTCTACTGCAAAAAAAGGAGGAAAAGAATTGTAAATGGGGGAGGAAGAGTGGGGGCTCACTAAGAGAATAAGATAGCTTTTGAACAGGCAGCTACTTCATAGACTCAAAAAAAAAAGGCAATGAAGGACAAGATTTGATTCTAGAAAGCTAGAATAACCACTGAAAATTACAGTGACCAAGTTAGGTGCCTTCGAACATCACAGAAAAGTAGCGAAGCCTAGACTAAAGGTTTTGAGATGTTCTTTCCAGTTAGTACAGGCAAAAGTCAGCATAGTTTAAAGAGCAATATGCTGTCATGAAATGTGATGAAAGTGCTAATTCACAAATTATACTCAGCAGCTTCAAATTCCGAAAACAAAATCATGTAAAGCTGCTAAAATAAGAAGTTTGGACAACAAGTACTTAAATAGAGAACCTTTGTATCTAAAGTTTTCTCTACTTTCTCTATTGATTGTTAGGGGGAGAAGAAAAAACATTAAAAAAATACAATCCAAGAAAGTAGTAGATGTAGACTAGTAAAAATCAAATAATCTTGGCTAAGAACTATATAAGGGTCTTAAACTTGGATGGCAGTTGCCGAAGAAAAATACTATCACTATCCTCACAAATGTAAAGCTGACAAATATATACAGTTAATAGCAAACAGGAAGAAAGTTTTTACCGTATTCAGTAGATCTTATCTTACACTGAAGACTTGTATTTTCAAGTTAAAAAATAGAATAGCAGAAGGGAGATACTCTGCTGGAATAATCAACACACAATTCTGGGCAGTAAGGTAGGAAGAGTAAGTAAGACAGAGGATACTGCTCCAGGGACTAGAAACACTTAGAATGCAGAAGTTCCTGGTTTGCTCTTTACAGTTGTTCATGAATTCTGCAGGCCTCAAAAGTCACTGTGGTAAAAATGAGATAGGTATGTAATGAACTTGGCTCAGCCAGTACTGAGGGGTACAGTCTCCAAGGAACAGATACCTCTCAGTGCAGTAGCATGTCATATTTCAATGTGTTAAAGAGTCACTGCCTACTTTCTTATGTGAACACATCTGAATTTAGATTCTCTAGCCTATATCTAAAAATGGATAGAAAAAGAATTGCTGGAGTATAACTGCTAGGAAGGGAGAGAAAGTGAAGATTGAAGTACTCCCTACTCTGAAGCCACATGTACTTCTACATATTTCTAGCAAGCCTTCAAGTCAGACTGTATCTGTATCATGTGAAAACAATTTAATTCACAGTACCTAAAGTCCCCTCTGCTGTCTTGGCAGGCAACCTGGGAATCTCTCAAAGATTACTTTGAAAAAGAAAAAAAAATTGGCATTGGTCTCACAACAGCAATGCAATAGAGGGACAGAGAGCAAAAAACAAATCCAGGATCACCATTTTTGGCTGACACACATCACAATGAAGAACAAATGTGAACCAGCCCCAAGAGGACAGCTGAGTCTTCTCTTCCCCAGGAAGCTTGCCTTGATCAAGCTTGCCCCTTCAGCACATGAACACCAAAGACAGATGGCAAATGAATTTGGACCACAGTGTCTGTCTAGATGGGCTCTGTTTTGCTATTGGCCTAACATTAGTAGGAACAATGCTAATGGTCAGGTTTTTAAAAAACATATCTTTAATATATTTTTCAGGAAATAATAATCTGCAACAACTACTCCCTGATCACACTCACACATCAGCATGAAGAGAGGAATTGTATTCCTTTGCTGGGATAAGAGTTCAGAGACTATGAATTCTGAAGGAACACACTGCCACAAGCAGACACCTACCTCACTGGGAATCACTTTAATCAAATGGGAATGGAACATATGTTTTTATTTACCAGAGGAAAACATAGCCACTGAAGCAGAAAGTAAATGCTCTCAAATATTCCCTGCATATGTTCCTCTCATAACACCCTACCTCTGGATTTTTTACCCTATAATTATATTTTTAAAAATATAAGGCAAAATCAAAGAACAAAAACTTGGTTAAAAGTTCAAATTAGCTGGAGAAGAAAAAAAAGACAACTCATATGTGAACCAGAACACAAGCTTCCCCATCTCCATGGCAACCTTTCCTAGAAGTTTATCAATTTGTCTTCTTGACCTTTAACACTGTATCCAAAAGACTAAATTCTTTTATTTTTAGCTTCTTGAAACGAAACTGCATGTCACCACTTTACAATCTTTAGGAACTACCAATTGTCTCACAGCACACTTCAACAATTTATCATAAACTTACTAGTAAGTAAGTGTATGATAAGTATCATGTTTGCTAGGGTTCCAAAGCAAGAAACGTTGGCAGAAAAACTAGAACTGTTTATCAAACTTACAAACATCTTTTGATATATCTTCCTCTGTAGGGATTTAAAATATAGCAGACAATACACCAGAACATAGACAGTAGGGAGCAGCCCTATCCTGGGTAAAAAACAAACTATGTGGCACTTCCTGTATTTAACATAAAGCATCTCCTTTCTGAATAGTAGAAATACAAAATCATACATTTAGCATAAAGAAATATCTAAACTTACGGAAGTCGAAATCCTCTTTGCTGTCTCTGTAATTGCCTGCTCCAATGGTTTCCAAAGGTGGAAAGCATAACGACCTGAAAAAGACGGAAATTAAATGAAATTATAACCACTACTCACTAAAACAAACAACAAAACCCCCTCCAATGTATGTTCTTCAGCTTACATTAGAAAAAATTTTGGATTAAAAAAATCACAAACTATTGGGAGAGGAAGGAGAAGAATTTTAATTTCTTCATCAAAACACCTAGTCATGCACTGCAAAGATCCATTGTGTTTACTCACTATTTAACTCACTAAATAAATAGATTTAAATACATTTCAACATGATAAATGAAGATATCTGCCTTGTGAACTTTAAGAAAAAGGGCAGTTTGAAACATTAGCTTTGGATACACGTTATTAATTAAATACTGTTCAAAGGTTATGTCTTCAAACAAAAGAAATCTATGTACTACACATTTCTTGTTGTGATGCTGTGTGCTTAATCACACACTTCGTAAGTACTGCATTTTTTATTTTGTTACAAAGAGAGGATCTTCTGGGATTCAGAGCCACTCAATTCCTCACTGGCAGTGGATGTTCATAGCTAGGAAAGGCTAGAAGGCACTCTATTAGACTGTTCTCAGAGGTACAAAGTAGGTCTATCAACTTCAGAATCAAGATTTATGCCATGTTACTGGAGGATTTTCCCCATAAATCCCCTCTCCCCAATTATGCTTTGATTAACTATTCATTAGCAACATAACTTACTACTGCACACAGTGGAAAAACTTTTTAAAAGTGGCTCTGCTTCATTCAAATAGCATCGTCTTCATTCTTAAAATACACAATGTGTCCATAAGTTATTTTTGTGATCTAAGCCTGTGTCTATCTTAACACAGAAGTTAAAACACTGTTAAGAGTATCTCTGTTGGAATGTTGTGATGTACTGTTACCTCACTTTCTTTTTTCTGTTACTTTGACAGTTACTATTAATTCTTCAGCTCAACCAGCAGAAGAAATTCTACGAACATTCCTCTTCTGCTTCTATAAAAGCACATAAACCAACTGCTTAATGGATGTACATCACCAAAGATCTCGTCTTTCCTTCCCCTAATCACAACAACACAACTGAACCCACCAAACACCTGCTTAAGTTTTGTGCAACTTGTTCATCTATTAAATCTATTCTTGGTGCATGCACTTACACATTGCTTTTGTATGCTGAAAATAACAGAAGTCAATTAGTGTATTTCAAACCCAGAATGGACAGTTATCCAGACCAAGTAAACCAGGGAATAAATCATGCTAAACTCATGCCCTGTGTTCAGACTAGAACCTATTTTTCAGAGTAACATACAGTCCAAATGCAAAGAGTTTAGGTAATAAACAAAGTCCTATGGAAAGAGTTTAGTTTGATAAATCACTGTAGTCACTTAAACCTTCTGGTTTTCTCTATTTGAATTTGTTGAGCATCACCATCACATCACAAGATCATCTTGTGTTCTTCAGTACTAAAAAGCCCCCCGCAGTGCAATGTGTTATTAAGTAAATAAAGTAAACTTTTCACCCTACATTTTGCAGACAAAAAGCAGATGGAATATTTTAGCTCCTGTCCATAAAATTACTTTCCCCAGTTTTCTCTACTTTTCAAAGAGTTTTTGAATATATGGCTTTGAAAGGGCAGGATACAATTCTCTACAATACTCTCAAGCAACCTTTCCACTTTCCACTCTTTATATCCATAAAAACTTCATTAACCCTTTCTGAAACAGCAGCTTGCAAGTGAGAGTTCCACACTCAGCTGGTAATTTAGCTTACCTGCAAATGCAACAGTTGCAACACCAAGTCCAACTGCTACCATAGTTCTGGCCTAAAGCAGAAAAACAGGAATCAGAATAACATTCAAACTCTAATTTCATATAAATGCACCTTTTACTTTAACAAGTATTTCTGATGTCTGATGTGGACATTTCATATATAATTTACAAGAAAGATGAAAGTAAGTTCTGTATTCCTCAGGCTACATTAGATTTTTATAGTTCAGTCTCATTAACCCATGCCAACACATCAGGTTTAACTCGGAATTACCCACTAGCAAATCAGTGAACATACACTGAAATCAGTCTATAGTATATAACGATAAAAACACAAGGCAGACAACTATTCAAGATTACTTGAAATTACTTGTGCAGACTAGTTCAACACAGTATGTAACAGAAAGTACCTGTTTATTACAAAAACATAAAGAGCTAACTCAAAACTCCAATATCAGGTGTATGTATTTTCCTCCATAGTGTTTGAAAAAAAGTCAGGCGCCTCAAAAAGGACAATAATAAGTATCCCCACGCTGATCAAGATGCTGATGAAAGGTATGAGGTAAACCTTGAAGAAGGGACTGACTTCTCACATGTTTGCAGAATTCAAGAAGCGTAACAAGCTCTCCATTTCTGAAAAGCCTACGAATAATCTTTGAAACAAATGAAATAGTCATCTGTGGTATTACCTGTCTTATCATATGACAGTTCAATAATGCCTTGTATTTTTCCCGGGGAAACCTGAGAAATCAGATTAGGCTTGTTTATCTTGAATTCAAAGCATAATGACAATGAAAACGCTTTTATCACCAGACTGTCTCTTCTATATATGACTTACTTCCGCAATTACTCAGTAACTGGTTTATACGTTTTATACAAACAAGTCTGACAGAAGGACTTAAAGCTCAAACTTCAATGCAAGTGCCCTAATAACTGGATCTGCAGCCAAGTTGCCTTTGCTACTAAGATTCCTGGGGTTAAAATTCTTTGTCTTCAATTGTACCCAATCTCACTTCTAAACAGAGTGGGAGTAAGGGAAGAGTTTGGAAATAATGTTTTTAAAGCCTTCCTAGAGTTGGTTTAGTATGGGCTAGAACATGGGCTGAAAACTTTGCCCACAAACAGGCAGCTGTACAAGATGTAGGCACCGATTGCACCCAGTGGCTCCTACAGCTTTGGCTCTGAAGGAGAGCGGCTGTGATTGCAGCCTGTAGTACTGAGCTCAGTACAGAAAAAGTTGTAGCCAGCCCTGAGCACATCCAGAAGCAGTTGTATTCCTCTATATCTAGCTTCTGGATCCCAGAGATTATAATTAAGTACCTACCTCCCACCTACCTGAGGGGACTGTCCTAGATATTTGCATAAGACTGCAATTGCCTAGAGGTTTCTATTAAAAAAAAAAAAAACAAAAAAACCCACCAAAAACCCAAATAAACAAAGAAAACCCCTCACTAAACATACTGAAACTGAAGCTCCAGACTTAAGACTGGGGGAATTCTGGCCTTAAAGATCTTCCTGTCTAGCCCATTTTAGTAACAGAACTCTTCCATTTCAGTGTACTCTTCAGTCTCGATATCAGCATTCATTTCTGAACATAAAAATAACTAGTAGTTTTATGTCTGTTGTTCCTTTCAGTTCCACCAAATTTCCCTTAATCTTTAGACCATGAAAAAACTTAAGTATGTTACCCTAAATGGTATAAGATGTAAAATAGCAAGCACACAGTTCATCTCCTCACTAAACTAAAACTCCTTTAATTTCTTCTCACAAATCAAGTTTTCCCAGGTTCCCAATACTTGAACCTTAAAAAGATTCCTCTAATTCGTCTGTTTAGACAGGAACCACAACCAGCCACAAGGTTGGTGAAAATATCACAACCCTATAGCAATTCTATATTATTCTGTTATGTGTTTTGTGACCATAGATTAATATTCAAGTGTTTCCTTGACTTTGATTCAGAGTGACGGCAAGAATCTTTTACTAAGTGGTTATAGTCAATTAAGAGCTCAACAACGTGTGAAATAGATCACACTGGCAAAAAAAAAATATTTATTAGCCTGTGCTTGTCCAGATTAAGTTATAATTGCTTTGTCACCTAAAAGGTGGTTTCAGTCAGCAGTTTACAAAAAGATGTACAGGTTGCAACAAGGCATTAGCAGCAGATACCTCATCACAGGTAAGACCAAGCACAGAGAACGGGCTAATAAATAATACCAGGATTCAGTCAGTTTAGTGCAGAAATAGCATGTGTTTGCACAGTAATCTGGGAGCACAATGTAGAGACCCCTGAGGGCCTTTGACAGAATCAGCCATGTCTGCTGGGATGCATTATTTCAATCTCAGTGGAAAGCAGTAGCGGTTAGTGCAAAGAGTGCTGCCTGGAAAACAGCAGGTAAAAACAAAGCATAGCAGCAGCTCTAGAATAGGAGCAGGATGCAGGATCAACAGGGAAATGACGACAAACCAAAAAACTTCATAGAAGTGATACAAAGCTCAAGTCAGAGAGGTATGAAAGACTGCCTACATTTTGAAGTGAGGTACAGCCATCCGAGAAATACTGGTTTATAGTAATTCCTCTTATGACCCTAAGATTAGCTCAGTTGGTTGGAGCATGGAGCTAATAATGCCAAGTTTGCGGGTTTGATCCCTGTATGGGCCATTCACTTAAGAGTGGACGCGATGATCCTTGTGGGTCCCTTCCAACTCAGAATATTTTGTGATTCTGTCAATTTTGGCCGGAAAGCAGCAGTTCAACTGCGTGAAACAATGGAGGAATCAGTAATTATTTGCATTATGAGCAGGTTACAGAAGAGTCACTTGCCAAATAGTAACAAAGAAGTGATAACTTGTCATACAAGGCATCTTGAATGTTTGTTATGGTGTGAACATATCCTAACTATACCCATGTGACAAAAACTGAATTGGAATCACTGTTACAGAGATTGCACAGTTTGTCTTTTACTGACACGGGTTCTCATAAAATTAGTAGCAACTTCAAGTACAAACCAGTAGGTCCTTTAAGTCCAGCAGACTCAGTTTCCTTTTCCACGCTCACTTAACTCAGTTGTGTATTTAAAAGAATCAGTCAAGGCTAGCCTGGTGCTTTGAAATGCAAAGTCCAAAGCTTTAATTAAATGCATTCCTTTCACGTCAATATTAAATGAAAGCAACTCACTACCACTGTGGAAGGCAGCAGTTCATTTATTGCATGCTAATACAACTACCACCGCAATCATTTTTTGTCTCCTATTGCTTGAAATTGCATTTTATTTCAGACTCATAAGGGATAAATAAATAAATACATACGCACTGACTTTCAATTATGACAGAATTGACCTTCCCACCACTCCAAAAATGCCATTAAGAAACTTCCAAGACATGGGTTTTAAATGAAAGCATTCTGTTAAGATCCAAGAGGGAAAAATAAAGAAATAAAAGATTAAAGTAACATCTGTCCCTTTCTTTATTCAATGAATCGGCTCCCAAAGGTTAGTCATCAATCCCACGCTATTCTGCTGATCTCAGTGTTTTAATTTTACTGTGTAGTTCGGTTTTCAGTAATAAACCCTCTTAGATAAAGAAAACTTAATTCCTTCAATACTTAATTCTCCAATGGCCCTAACTTTTTAGCAGAAGAAACAGGGAAGAATGAAGTATTATTTTTGCAAATTTCTAATCCACAGTGCTCTGTTAGCTTAACCATACCTAAAAAACATGGTTAGTTCTCATGTAGTTCTTAGCACTATGGCTTCTCCTTCTATGAAGAGGGAAAAAATCTTATAAACAAAAGAATTTCAAATGCATCACTTTCAAATTTCAGCACAACTCTAGTACATCTGACTATGGGCTGCAAGAGTCACCTGTAGGAACGTTACAACATATCTGCTTGCACAGAATTTGGATTTTATACGCTGGTTCTTCTACCACCAGTGAAAACATCCTTCTTGATCAAATGAAAAATATTTTGCTCTCCTCATAGCTTTCAGACACACAGCAAGAGCTCTACAGTCTTTTGCCTTGGAAACCTGCAGTGTAATAGAATAAAAAGCACAGAGAAAATAATAATTTGTTGACATGGGTTGGATGGCATTTTGTAACTAATCCATGCTTAGTCATAGAGCAGCAAAATAGGAATTATGTACTTACATTTAAATAAACACACAAGTGTAAGTTGCTTAACTAGAAATTTCATTTTAAGAAGGTTTGATTCTTTTTTTTTTAGCGCTGTATGCTATTAAGAAGTAGGATACACAAGTATACTAACCAAGTATACAAAAATATTTCTGAAATTAAATTATCCCTCAAATAAAAATTCTTGGTTTGAAATAAATGATTATTCGGTACAGAAGATAGAATAAGGCTTCAGTGCAAACCACCTAATTTACTCTATATGGAGCCAGAAACATTCTGAAGTGGGATTATATTATAAGTTATCTGCAACCACTTTGATTTCATAATCTAATGTTTTCCTTCCAATCTTACCTTCCTATTTAATTTAATTTGCCTTCCAACAGCGAATTAAAAGTAATTTCAGCTAGATGCTGTTCCCCATACTGACACAATTTTTATGTAAATTTGTGTAATTTATTTTACAGCAACTGTTTTGATTTGTATACAAAGCTATGACTGCAGAGTTTTTCATAGGAAACTGTACCAGAGCAAACAGATTCACTAATAGAAGCATCACCATAAGGTATTCAAATCAATCTTCTTGGGTATGTATTAACAATGACCTCTTGCTGTTATCTTTGAGAACAGACTCTTCAATGCTTCCACTGCTGCTCTTCCATCGCTCCAAACACTTTTGTAAAACAATTACGAGAATAAAAGTGACCATGAACAAGTGACTTCAGCTAATATCCCAGACAACTCACAACAAAGATTCAGGGTAGGATACTGAACAGAGCTCTTTCAGCCCCAAGAGATGGATGCTGCTGTTGGACTTTGCTTCTCCTAGTACTGCTCTGTTCCACCAAGGCAGGAAGGCCTCATTACCCTGTAGGGTGTCAGAGGAACAGACGCACAGCACTACGGTTGGTTTTGCCGTTTCTCTCTGGCAAAATTTTAGAACTTGTTTATACACAACTTACCTCTTCTGAATTCCTTAACTGTGAATGCATTACGTATGCTGTTCTTGCTTCCATTACCTACATAACACCATCCAGACAAACTCTAAAATAGCTTCTGTATGCTAACAGTTTACAATGTAGATATGCCTAAAAACCACTGCATTCTCCACTGAAAGGCCTGGTTAAAGAATAAATTTCATCAGTAATCCAGACTCTAGTCCTCTGAAGACCTATATCAGTCTCTGGACCTTACTAAAAATGTGACAATACTAAGGGCTACAAGGCAAGCCATGCTAACCCCAGATGCAACTTTTATCCCAGACAGGTAAGAGGGTCCAAAGACTGGACAAAATTCACTAGGAATTCTCTGCTAGCATTTGAAAGGGAGAATGGCTGTGATAATAATGAGTTTCAGAGCTAGCTTCTTAAGACTACACAGCTTGCCACTAAATACATAGAAAGACTCGCCTGTTGAAAAAAAAAAAAAGTCCTAGGCTATAGTACTATAGTAACAACTTAGAGAACTGTAATTTTTAAAACTGTATTTTAAAAAAGTAAAAATATTGTAGCGACAACACAACGAAGTAAGGTAAGTATGACTTCTATTCCATCTTAAAAATGTGAAAACTTCACCACCTGGGGCTTTAAGCAGTGATCCATGTATTTTTCCCAATTCTCTTTCCCAATGGGAATTCACTGTTCCATGAACTAATTGAATTGACTAGAATGAAGGACTGGGATAAAGTCCCATCACCCTTCCCTCTAGAGCACAGTACAGCATAGGAAACTTCAGAGGCACTTTGCCTCCACTCCAGACTAACCCAGACTCTCCCACATTACAAAGTACCAGGTGAGAATTACTTTGCTGAAGCAGAGCTCCGTGAAACCATCAACACTCAAACCCACCTGCAATAACAACACCCGCACAGTGAGTGAAAACACCACAGGTATCACATCACCTCCTCATGGCAGAGGAACAAAATTTTCAGCCTTGTCTGCTCACACCTGAGAACGTCTGGGCCAAAGCGCTCCCGTGTACCCCAACTGTAGCATCCCAGAAAGGGCTGGGACAAACACCGACAGCTGGATGGCTGTGGAGCCAGCCAAGGACTAGTGGTAGTAACAGACAAGGACTGTCAGTAAGAACACGCTGTGGGAAAGAACAAGACGTGACTAGAGAAAGGGGACATGCGGAGGCAGCACTTTTCCTTGTTCTATTTCCTGGAGATACACACAGCACAGCACAGCACAAGCATGGAAAAGAGACCAAGAAATGGGCATGGACTGTAGGGAGGGATCAAGACCACCCAAGAGCCCTGAAGCCCCCTGACTCATTTCCAGAAAGATCTAAAAGAACAGGCTGCACATAATGACTAGTTCCCATAGAAAGCGAGGAACCTGTCTCCAGGGTGGGGAAACCTGTCCATAAAAAGGTATCTCCACCAAGGCCAGGTGGTATCCCCAGGACCCTGAACATCCCGTCAGCTGGACCGACGCTGGAACCAGGACTGATGACCTTCTTTTTTCTCCTTTTTTTCTCTCGCTTTTCCTTTCTTTCTTTCTTTCTCCCTCTCTTATCCTCTAATTCATCTATCTCTTTCTCTCTTTTCACCTTACACCTTTATCAAAAACCCACTGCCATGCGGTGTCAAGGATTAGCATACCAATTTCCGTGCCAATCGTGAAACTTGCTAATAAAACTTTCTGATTGTTTGCGGACCCTCCGACTCCTGCAATTCCTCCCGACCACGAGCATTCCTGAATCCTGGGCTCTCCCTTCCCCTCAAGGGCAGGCCGACACACCGCTGCCCATGCTGCAGCTCCCCCCGCGGCACCGCGGCACCTCGCTGCCCTGTCCCCCCGGACACCGCCACCCGCTCTCCCAGCCCAGCCCGGAGGAGGACGCCTGTTCTGCGCAGCGCCATCACGCCCCTCTGTCCCGGCGCTCACACGCGTCCCCTCGCGGGCGTGTTTGACCCCCTGGGTCAGAAGGGAGGCAGCTGCGGCCTCCTGGCCCCAGGAGAGGGGGGCTCCCGCCATGCGCTCACCAGCCCGCGGTCCAAAGGCTTCGGCTTTGGCCCGCTTGCCTTGCGCCGTAGGGCCCCGGGCGTACTCGGTCGAGCGAAGGCCCTCGTCAGAGCCCGCCGCGCCCGCCATGATGGAGCCGCGAGGAGCCGGCGCTACGGGCCGGCCGCAGAGACAAACCGCGCGGCAGGACGGACCGCGCGAGGGGCGGGGCCGGGGCCGGAGCGTCACATCCTAGGAATAAGGCGGAATGAAGGGATAAGAGATAATTTATGCATTAAAAAAAAAAAAAATCGGATAAGGAGGAGAGAAAACACTCGGGCCGCACGGAAATGATTCGTTTCCATCTCCTGAATACAGGATTTTAGGCTGGGTGGGGAACATGTAAAGGAAAGTATAAAGACAAATTAATCTGGGGAAAAAAAACCACTAAAAATGCATTTTAATATTAATATGCTTTCACTTAAGTTGGTGTCTATATGTTTCACTGTGTTTATATTTTGATTTTCTGAACATGCTGACGCTTCGTATCACTTCTGAAAACCTCCCTCAGCTGATCCCTGCCTATGCAGAAGTTGTCAATCAACATCAGTCCCGCAACACAAACTGTAAAATGCTCAGGCCCCTTCCAGTACAGCAGCAGAACAGCTTTTCCCTTTTTTCTGGTTTTCCTTGTCTCCTACCTGGTCGTACTGGTGATGGAACTGAATCACCTGCAGATTGCTAAGCGGTGTGACTGGACAAAAAGTATTGCTCTCCTTACCTCCTATTTCAAATGACAGTTGCTCTTCTGAGCATCTCTAAGTGTCTTTTTAGAGTACCATAAAGGAGAGTTAACCATATATAGCATTTCATTAACCTTAGGCAGAGATATAAATTTAACTTTCTACTGCACAGAAGTCACTGAGAGTTCTATGATGATCCATTTGTCAAGAAATGCATTCATTTTTACTTCTTCATTGGACATATACAATCATATACGATTAACTTTTTAAGCCTTCAGTGGAATTGGATTTCTTGAAAACTTAAATCTATTTTAAACTCATTAAAAATGTCCCCAATTAATCATTTTCTGTTCACTTATTTGCATAGAAATAATGCAGAGTAGCATGTTGCTTACTACCTTTTTGGTCAGCAAACCCAGTTTAAAAAATAATATATTTAAAGTCTTGGAATCTAGGGTCTTTTCCTTAATTTTCCAAACTGATCCCCGAGACACCGGAACAGGTCAAAGTCTGTTCCCATCAATTCAGAGTTGTGATTCTGTTATTTTGCCCTAATACTACTGTGTCATGGTCACAGCAGCCAAATTCTTCCTCATTTGTAAGTATCAGAACCAAAAGAGCATCTCCCCTTGTCAGTTCCTTGATTACCTTCACAAGGAAGTTATAATCGATGAACTCAAGACACATGTCATTGTAAGGACATAAAAATTTGGCTTTTAAAGACACTGAGTCATACTATGGTCCATCCAAATACATCTAGGCAAGCTCTGACGTGGAAAACAGTGCTCTGAACATCTTCCTCCTATTACTGGCCATGCTACTACTACTACTGCTCCTATTTTCTGGATGGTGAGCCGCAAGAAGCATATTGATTGAGCAGAGCAAACCAGATAATGAACACAAGGAAAATATATCTTTTGCCAGGAGTGAAAGACTGTAGGTTGTCTCCCTTGCAAGCAAGGAGGGGAGGAATTAAAGCGGTTGGGTCTTCGGTTATGGTTCTCTCCCAAAGCTCCTCTCAGCATGGCACAGCTGTGTGCTCTATTATGCACAGGATGGTGCTGGTAGAGACAATCTGTCCATTACTATTTAATTTAATCCTACACATTAGTATGTTCCAGCATATTGTCACTATTAATGTGTGGCAATGTTGTCCAGATTTGTTATGCCATTTAAGTTAATTGTCTGCATACTTTTCCTATAAATTACTTTCCTAAGTAGTCTGTGCTATGCAGTCAGGATCAATGCTGGCAAGAATCTCTGTCAGCAATGAAGAAGAATCTAGAAACAGATACTAGATTAAATCTTGTGAAATTGATAACAAGGGTTATGTGTGGTTTGGATTTACCTTTTACCACCAAGAATTTCCAAAATACATGTAAATGTAGCACCTGACCAGTGTAATTAGAATGGCAGGGGCCAAAATTTTGTACTAAAGATTAAAGTTTCTGAGGTCAGGCAGAGGAGAGAGTATAATCAAGAGTTATCAAGGAAATCATGAGGCATATCATATAAAACTGGTAAAGTCAGTACTTGAGCCTTGCTGAATTGTCATGTACATACAAATGAATGAAGAATAAATCTTCCCAGCCACTGCACCAGGATTAGAGGCTGCTCCTACAAGCATTTGTATATTTAATTACCACAATATACTGTAAAAGCAAGAAGAGGTATGAGCTGTGGACTTCTGCTAATTTCTTCAGGTAATGTATTCAGAAACATTAGACAATAAAGAATGTAATGTTCTTTCTAGATACTATAATAATTGTCTGTATGACATCTTTGGTTGACTAGGTACCACAAGGTAGTATATTATATAAAATCCTAAGCTGGAACTAATCATGGCCTTCAGGAATTACAAGAGTACAATTATTCCTTGAAGAAGATGGTATATATGCCAAAAGGCTCAGGTATCTTTTGTGAATAAGTAAATCTCCCCTGCTGTAAAAACTGTTAAGAAAAAGATCTATTCAGAAATCTTGCAATTAGTATTTTAATACTGCCAAACTTCTCAAGGATTTTTTTCCTTCTGGACACAATGCTGGAGCAATAGCTGTTAGGGTTCTTTGTTTCTGATAGCATTTGTATTCATTACTAGTTAATTTTACCTATTGTAATATGTTCCTTGCAGGCATTTTTAATGGTATAAAGCATCCATTTTTAGTCCTGATTGTTTTTATAACATCAGACCTTTAAAATAGCCCTGCTTTATTATTTAGTATTATTTATACAACAATATAAATATGCATAGCACCCTTCGGGCATAAGAATACTCCTTAAATGTAGCAATAATCTTCAGGCACTGCTTCTGGACCTCAATACAGCATGTTCTAGACATCAGGTCAATTAGATTTTCAATCTCCACTTCCATTTTCTGAAGTAGTATTAGATAAAAGAGAGGTGGACCTGCTATAATGCTGAAGGATACTGTGAAGAAAGCAAGGGTCAATTTTCTTTTAGAGAGTGGAAGATGATAGTTTTTGACAGGTACCATCAATTTCTTTTTGCAATAAAAGCTTTTTGCAATAAAATGGGAAGTGTGTGCAGCATTTTACATTTCCTAAATAAATTACCCAACACATACACACACACGCACTTGTCAAAGCTAATGGCGTTCTTTCTGCTGAACCTGACAAATTCCAGTCCTAATCTTGGCCAAATGTTGCCATTTTACCCTCCTTCTGGGCCTACCTCTCCAGGGAGCAGAATAATTCCTCTTCTCCAGCATCCTGAGCTGTAACAATTAGTTCTATCAACCCTGCAGAATGCAGTGTCCCCACAACACAGCAAGCTTGCTCTAATGGAACATTTTCTGTCAAGTGCACAAAACTAAAAGTGATACTACAGCTTTCATTCATATTAATGTTTTGTGGTTTTGGTCTACAGTGAACTCAGATATTTTGCTTGCCATAGGCATGTTTCAGATCAAGTATTTTAAAAGTCAAGCTGAACAATTCTTGTCTAGTTTAAGATTTTCTGTTCACAACTAACTGTACAGCAAGGTAGAGTACTCAGCCAGAAAAACCTTTGTAAAATAAAATGCATCTCTAAAAATTCAGTTTTGCCATCATGGTATAAAAACTCTATATGCAGAGCTAATTATAGATATGCCTCTATTTACCATAGTTTGTCATTGCCCTAAAATACAGGGATGTGTTCCCTATGATTAGCTACATGCACATGCTCTATAGTATATTCAGTTGCGTGTCTTCTCTATTTAGCCAAAATGTCCTGCGAAAAAACTTTGTATGTGAACCTTTGAGCATCATATTCAGGTATTGAACTAAGTATTTTAGTGCTGACAGCAAAAGAAAAGGCAGTTCTCCAGTGATCAAGGCCTCTTGATACCACTTGCTGGCTCCTGGGAAAAACAGAGTGGAAAGCTTGCCTGTCCTGGCTGTCTTTTTGAAGGTTTCCTACAGTTTGATGCTTTTAATGAAATGTGTCTATGGTTGAAGAAAGAAAACTTAAAAATGCAAAACCTTAAAATCCGTAAACCAACAGTGAAATAATGAAGAATAAACAGGTGTTTTCAGGGAAGGGAAGATAGGGGACATTGCATTGTTTTACTTTTATATATTTTAATATTATTTCTTTCATAGAAGAGAGTTTTATTCTATCTAACATTACCAAAGAAATGATGATGCGGCTGACTGGGATTCTGAGTATCTTTTATAGTGAGAAAGGACCTCTAATTCCTCTCATTTTTGGTATAGTTCCTGATGCTGTTGAGTTGGAAATACAGATTCAGTACAGAATGTTCCTCTACAGAAGTTATTTTGGTTACTATTGTAATATCCTGAAAAACACAGGTGAGTGAGGGTACATGGTGATTCTTAATATTCCACGTGTCCACTGAGGTATTTTCTCAAAGCAAGAGAAAGATAATTTTTATCTTAATAAAAATAAAAGAAAATAAAACAAAATAAAAAACCCCATTGTTAATAGCTAGAGGCAACAGACAAAAAGCTTTATTTTGACAAATGAATTTTCTCACTCCTTTTTCCTACTTTCTCCCCTGTCCCACTGGTGAGGAGGGAGGGAGCCACCAGCTATGTGGGTACTCACTTGCTAGCAAGGACCAATGCATTGCAGCATCAGGCCCAGTTAGGAATGTGAGACAACTATAAACATAAACCGTCAGATAGAATAGTCAGCTAGTATTTGGTGGGTCTAGAGAACACAAGTAGTGAATTAAAATTCTTGTGGAAGATTTGGGAAGTTTTGAGATTTGGTGGGGTTTGCATGTTTCAGGAGGTTGAATCAGCAATCTGAGATTTTAGCATTTATTTAGCAACTACAACACTGAATAAAGTAGGGCTGGAAGCTAATCCTTTTTCCTAAATCCAGCTAGCACAGACTTACATATATGCTGCCCATGACAAGCCTCCACCAGGATAGAAGTAGCTAAGTAGCTAGACTGATCCTAGTGGAGGCAGTATGCATGTCCTTATACTACTTAAACTCCTAGTGTCCTGAGAGCCTTAGGTGGTACTGCTGTGACTTTAAAACTTGATTATTATTTTAGGTGATATTTCAACTCAGTGTGTCTGAAGCAATATGAGGGATGGGTTGCAGCCCATGACGTTGTGTTTTAGTGACATGAAACTGAAGGGGTGATGAGTGATAAACTGTGCGGTATCACAAAGATGCACATGGGATGTGTTTGAGATGCAGAGATTGCTGGGTCAGTGCTGGAGAGTTGTTTAGGATGGAGAAAGTTAAATCTGGTACAGTCATTAATACTGACTTTCTGGGCATCATGTCTGACATGAACCATCCTTAGAGCCAGGCCTGGATGCTGTTCTGGAGAGAGTTAGTTTAGATTGTCCACAACAGAGCTATGAAATAAATGAGCATTGAAAAGATATAAGTGATTTAGCTTCCAGTACTTGGGTTCATTTTACATCCCTCTTTTTTTGAGCAATATAGATGTGAAGTATTTAGATTCTACAGTTAATGTTTTCAGCCAAAAGTTTCTAAATTTCAACAGGAAAAAGATATTAGATCTGAAATTTACATAACATTGAAGGATTGAGGATATAGCAGCAGTCACCACATTAATTATAATCAATTTTTGTAATTAAATATGAGTTATTAAGACATCAGTCTGCTTGAATAAGAAAACTCCAGATATTGAAGCTGGATTTTTACCAGATAGGATGTCTGTAGGCACAGCTGTTATCACACAAACATTTGCAGTCCTCAGACATGACTTTGCTATAATTTTTTTGCTACTTCTAGGGCCTTTTTGTCTCCTGTATTCATCCTGAAGTTCTACGTAAGAGAGTAAGCTTGATTCTTGCTTTCATTTACCAGCACCTTGTACATAAAATATTTGTGAAGTGGTGCAAGAGATTATGCACCAGTTCATCCCTATACAACACACTGCCATTGCACTCCAGAGTCTCCGCAGAATGTTTTGTGTACAAATGTAGATGATACCTGCTGCAGAGCATGTTAGGAGGGATGGTGGGAGGGAGAGACCACTGATACTGCCTCCTTGGGGCAGGCCTAGGAGATGCAACTTTCTGGATGTGGCAGCTCTGGGAGGTGTGCTGCTGGTGACAGTGTCCCATACAGTACACCAAGGAGCATTACAACCACCAGGCAGCCTTTGGCTTTCCATGTGGCATTTTGTTTTACTCCTTCCCCAGCATGTGTGGGGTGTGCTGTAAGGCCTATGTGGTCTGGGCAGTGAGGAAACCTGGCCACATGATTTTCCCTTCTGCAATGTGTTTTTAGTGCAGCTTGATCAGCTGAGGACAAAAAGTGACAAAGTCTGCATGTGTGGAGCTGGATTTCCCTAGCTCTGCTGCATTAAGCTGGAGTAGCATTACTACTTCTTTTTTGCTTGGGCTAGAAGTTGCCAAACAAAGGTTGCTGATTATCCAGCCCTGCAGATCCCATAGATACAGTACCACTGGTCAGATGTGATTACTGAAGGGAATTAGGAGGGAATTACTGAAGGGAATTCAGGTGGAATTAGGAAAGTAAAAATAAAGAAGTTTTCTGATTGAGCAGAACTCAAAGGCAGAATTTGAGCTGTGCGGGACTTTAGGATTTACCTGAGGGTTAGTTTTTAGTTTCCATCTTTCTTTGTATACTCATGCAAAATAGAAACCAGTAAACCCCTGAGAGTTATTCCCTCTGTCATAGGAAAGTTTGACATGCTGGGGTAAAAAATTGTCAGAAATATAGCATTCAGCCAGACCTTGCCATGCTTCTGCTGAAGCAGTCTATTCCAAGACTGCACAAATGTTGTCGTCTGGTTTATTAGTACAGATCTGCTTTGCTCTCCCCTCCGTGACTCCTGTTTGCCTAGGTGCTGTGACTGAGATGATCAAACTTTAGCTTCAGCTGGAGGATGACTCAGAAACCAGTACATGTATTTGCACTCCTGACAGTTGAAAGTCCAGACAGAGGAGGAGCTTACAAGGAATTGAAACTAATTTGTAGTAACTCCAAAGTTTTGAGTCTTTCTCTAGCCTAAGCAGCAATACTTGTGTCTGACAATTCAAAGTACTCCCAAAGCAATGTCTGGGGTTAGAGGATGGAAGGAAGGCAGCAGGTACAGGACAGCTGTTGGCTCTAGTACTCCATTTTCCTCTCAGGGTTACCCCTTGGATGGCAACAACAAAGCAGAGAAGGGTAAAAACACCAAGAAGCTGACAACGTCTGGAGAGGAACAAAGCAGCCAAGCGCCGGTCTACCAACAACAGCAAGAGCAGCAGTAAGTAACGAGGAGCCTGTCCAAGATGATGTTATTTATATTGGGTGCCTGTTCCCGAGCTTGCTTGAGCTGTATATCTTTAAAGGGGGAAATACTTTGTAGAGAGCCTGTGAACGGGGCTGAGCGCACAAGCAGCATATTGTCCTTTTCTTGGTGCTTCCAACATGGGACCTGAGTTGTTCTGGCAGGCTTTGGCATGGCTTATACCCTGTGCAATAGCAGTGGCCAGTTCTATATGTTGCATATTGGCATATGTAGGGTCTGTTTCCTGGCATCTTTTTTCAAAGTGAAATTTCAAATGTGGTTCTAGCTCCTTGTTTTCTGTTTCTCCTAATATTTCATTCTGAGAAGTCTAAAAATACTTCTACTGGTTTAAGAGATGGATATAGGCTGCATTCCAGCACTGATCTGAATGCAGTCAAGGACACAGAACAGTTCCAGCAACTTCATGCTGACAAAAGTAAAACGAAACTTTAGCCCTCAATTTCACTTTGTGTTTTTTGGAATCTATGCTCAGTCCATCTCTGGTTTTCCAGTAGCAATTCTGAGATAGCTTGTATAACCTGTGTCTTGCAGATATAGTACAAAATAGAAACTGAAAGTAGTGTGTGTATTTTTTATGCACGTGTTTAATACAAATAGGCTTAGCTGAACAGAGTTAATTGTTTAGTCTTTTTCTCCAAATGTACTTTTCATGAGCTGTTAATAACAGTGCATGCAATGCTATTATTATTGTCATGTGCAGATCTCATGGCTTTCAAAGTGCAGCTGACAGGAACTGCAATCTGTTTCGGTTTCCTTTCCCTTTTTTCTGGATGAAGAAGGTGGAGCCACGCTGTGAAGGCGGTGGCGGGCTGATAATGGCAATCAGCGGATCAGCAGCTTTCGATTACCCATGAATACTTGCCTACTAGGTAGTAGTGGTACGGGGACTACTGAGAGCTGGGTCCCTTTGGAATCCGTCAGTACTTCAGTGACTGACTTTCAGCAGAGCAAACAAAAAATCCTTAGTTATAGTCTGTTTATTTTCTGCCACTTCCAAATGCGAAAGACGCTCTGTCTTGCCTGCCCTCACAGTGCCATATATCCACAGTAGTATTTTTTGCTATGTGATACAAAAGATTCTCTCTGTGTCTTCAAAAAGTTCTAATAAAGAATTAATTCCTAAATTTCAAATGTACAAATTAAAGTCTGCATTAGTATGTAGTTAATGAGGAAGAGGGATGAGGGAAAGGCAGGTTCCAACAGAAACCATGCAGTATGAGTGGTACAAATACTCAAAAAAAGAAGCGAACAAAGCTGGAGCTTGCATCCTTCCCTTGAGGAGGGGGGTACCAGCTGTCAATTTGAACAGGTTGAAGATGTTTAAACTGCAATTTCCTTAACTAGCACAGATTAAATTGGTAGATAGTATCTGAAATACTGAAGCAGACAAGGAGAGATCTTTATTCTCAAAACAAAAATTATTTCATTCATTATTACTTTGTTCTGTTATCTCAAGTTACATTTCAAGAAAGATCTCAGATTCAAATACCCCTTTAGCAGTGATAAAGTTGACTCAACCTTTTAGTCACCAATCCTTTTAAATATGATCTTTAAAACTAAAATACCGGGGCACCCTCAGAATGGTCCAGGTTTTCAGGCTCTGGGATAACCAGAGCAGTAGGGTAGCTGAAGTCACAGTAGAAGAAAAAATATGTAGACTAGTATTAATTAAAGGCTTTCTGGAATACATATAACAGAGAGAACATGAGGGGCCCAAGTAAGATAGCTCTGTGCCAAGGAGTGTTTCTATTCCAATTTCTGTGCTGCTCACTAATTTTTTGGAAACAGTCAGGATATGGTTTTGCTACCAGCAAAGCAGGAGCTGGAGTCTCCTTTGAAAGCTCTTGCTTGAGTTGATTCCATGCAAACTCTCAGTCTCAATCAGTCAGAGCAATTTGGAATGGGAAAACACCTTAGAAGCATCTTAAGGTGGGGTCAGGGGACCTTTCATGTAGACTGGACACATGAAATATGTGTGGGACATGGCACGTTGCAGTCCACTAGTCAATATTCAAACTTGACTATTACAAAGTACAGGGTAGGCAGCTGGTATTAGAGGATAATTTTGCTTTGGGAAAACCTTTATATAATATGTTGAGGCTGAGAAGTCACAATAAAGTGGTCCTAATTAAGCTAAGTAAAATACATGTTCAAATGCAAAATTGAAATCACACTTTGCACATCCCCCTCCAGTTATATATAGAATGTGGTTTCAGGCATGGAGAAAAAAGTCACAAGGATGACAAGTGCTTGAAACTGCTTATAATAATAAGCTTGCATTTAAGTTACTTCACTTTGTCTGCTAAGTGCCATGAAATTAGCTAGCAGCAAGTGAATTCTCAAATTGCCCCTGTTCATATCTTTTCAGAAACAAAAGTCTGTACAGAAGAAAAGGTGAAGGGAAGCGGGGAAATTAGAGGGTAAAGTATAGCTAGCGCCTGAAAAAGAAACTGCTGCCCCCATTCAGCAGTCTGTCCTTGGCGCCTTTAAAGCTGGCAAGAATAATATTGGTTCTGCTAAAATCCATTAAAAAATGAAATTCAAGATAATAAAACCTGAGGATACATTGCCACACAGCAGGTAACAGTCCCTCATCATTTTGTGTGAAAGGAGAGCAGAGTTGCTAGAATGCTTGACTCAAGAAATTATATTCTTTGCTGCTGGAACCAAATCCATAAGAACTATCTTTCCTTCATTTTCCAATCTTCATCCTGAATTTAAAAAAAAAAAAAAAAACATAGAAAATATCTATAGTGTTGTAAGACCCCTCAATCTTTTGCTGATAGACTATACTTAGCAGTTCTGAATTTTTTTTCTTTCATGATCTGAAGTTTCTTTTTTTAAAAAAGAATTACTCTACAAAACTGTAGGTGGATGCTTAGCAAAATGCTTGTTTTGCCCACTGCCCACCACCAGTGGGAGTGCTAGAAGGGTAATTTGAATTATGGACAATCTGTTCAGAGCTGAACTCTGTATTTGTTACAAAGGAGAAATCTCCCAACTCCGTCTTTCAGGCTTATGTACTAATCTTTACAGCCCAGTGGGGCAATTCAGAGATGCCCAGCTTTGTTGTGGTCAGCAGCCAGCCTTTTCTCCAGCCAGGTGTCTGGTTGCAGGTCTATATAAGACAATAATTATAGTGTTAGGCTGGGCTGTGGGGGTTGCTGTGTTCCTTATAATGCTTGGAGGAGGGGAGGAAGTCCTTCCAGCTCCTGTATTGGAAGCTTTTTTGGAAGAGCTTGATTTGCACAAGCCCTGACGTTCCCTTGATGGATAGCTTGATGAGGAGCTGTGATGAGGTTATGAATAGGGAATTTATAGGAGGATGCCGTGTTTGGGCAGGGGCAGTAAAAGGACAAATTCTCTGATTCAGAGGCAGCAGAGGAGGAAATACATTGTTGAAAAGAGAGGGGAAGCAGAGATGAACATGCCACCAGCTTAAGTCCTAATCTTCATGTGATACAACATCTGACCTGCTGAGTTCTCCAGGCACGCTGGCAAGACTGACTTGCAACACATGGATGCCCCTGCAGGGGATAGCTTGGCTCAGCGCTTGGTGTTGCCAAGCCCAGCGTCTGGCCTGCCCATGTGTGGATGCTCCATGCTTCTCACAGCTAGTGATTACCAGGTTCTCCAGCTGGCTCTGGCATACTGGCTACATCCCTGGTACTGCACTGAGACAACTTAGCTGCTCTAGGACCTGGGGACAGCATAAGCATGGCCATGTCTGAGTTCATAGACTTTGGTGGGTCTGATGCTAATCTATAACACGCCACAGTGAGTTCTGCCCCTTTGGTGTAATCTGACCACAACCATAGGCTGACTAATGGCATATTAGCATTTTACAGAGGAGAGAGAAAGCTCTGCTCTGGGCCAAGTTTGGGCTGAGAGCTACCCCTTGGCTCCCTGATTTGATCCATCACTGTGGCAATTTTCTTGGAGCTTTAGAACCTGGTCGAGATCATCCAAAAGAGTGTGCTGACTGAAGCACATCTTTCTGATGTACTACGACCAGAACAAACTGCTGAGTCTGAGCTCCATCTAAACTCTTGGAAATTCAATTCCAATTTTTATTTTTAGTCTTTAGGCCAAATTTTAACTTAAGGAATTTTCTACAAGCATGTGGGTAAAACAGAACCTCAGGTCTGTTTCTTTCCTGCAGATTTCTGACTCTTACTTTCTCATGGGCCTCTCTCTGCTGCTGTTTCACTTCTCGCTGTGGTAATTAAGTGCATTCCTGGCCTGTGGCAAACACAGGACAAAATCCAAGGACACAGAATTTTGGTGATAAACATTTCCTTCTAATGCAGTTAATTTTCTGCCTCTTATGCTAAGACCACACATGCAGTGAGGGTGAATCCGACAGTGTGTAATGCTAAGCCCGAATAATTCACTTTTGTCTCTGAGCTGCAAACTAGTAAGATGCTGCTGCTGATAAAGATGGAAAGCCAGACCCCCAAGCCTGCATGCAAGGTTTGTACTACCCTCCCAGAACTCTGCTTAAGGCACTGCTGGGACACAGAGCATATTGCTTGGCTGAAGTCTAGAACTGTGGCTGTCAGTTATTGTTAGCATCTGGCCGTGTGTGTATTGTGAAATGGGGATACCTACAGGATAGTTGTCTGCTTGTTGGGATTTGGCATCTTTTAGTCCTCTGATTTGGCAGCTTCCATGGTGCTCAGCAGCATATGGCTGTTCCATCAGGCATGGGAGCCTCGGTGAAAACAATACTTTGTGGTGCCATGGACTTGACAGCTCTTAAAACAATTCCTGATAAATGAATGTAAAAATAAGCTTAGCGTACCTTTGAAGGAAATTTAACGGTTGTCTTTGGCAGTTTGGTCTCTTTTTCATTTTAAATTCGATCTCAACATACTATTTAATGCAGTATTTCACCCATATCTTCCCCTGAGTCTCTACTCTAGATTCAATCTGCCTTGGTCTTCTTCCCAAGCTTTAGTCATTTGTGTTGCCCTCCAACTACATTCTCAGTTTCTACATTTTCTTACATAGAGCACTTTGCCTAGCAGAGCAAGATATTTAGCTTTAAGCTCTGTGGCATTTATGTATCAATGCAGCTGCAGTATAAAACACAGTGGAACTGGAAATAGTTTATAACAGCCATTACTTTTGTAACTCTTTAAACTATTTCACACTTCATTTGGAAAGCTCTCCAGTGGTAGATGGCTGGAGTAGACTTGAGAAAAAACTGAAGAGCACGGCTCTGCAAAAAATATTACTGGTGAACCGCAGTTCTCGTGGTTTTTCAATTTTAGAAATAAACTATTTTATACAAACCTTTGAAGAAAGTAGAACAAAAGTTTTGATGGTCAATGCCCTGAAAGCATTGAGGTGTCCTTGAGTGGTGCTAGTTAGATAAGTAAACTTATACACAGGATCCAGAAGTTAAGGTTGCAGACATGGTGTTTTTTGTGTTGCTGATCACTCATATTGTAAACTATCATTGCAGATTTTCTATGACTGTACTGCATGTTTCTCCCGATGTATAACCCTCTATTTATATGTATGTGCTGGGTTTGGTTGGAGTAAAGTTTATTTCTTCACAGTGGCTGCTGTGGGGCCATGGTTTGAATTTGTGACCAAAACAGTGTTGATAACGCAGAGATGTTTTCATTACTGATGAGCAGTGCTGATGCAGAGTCAGGGCCTTTTCTGCCTCTCACCCCACTTTACCAGTGAGCAGACTCAGGGTGCATAAGAGATTGGCAGGGGACACAGTCGGGACAGCAGACCCTAACTGACCAAAGTGATATCCCACAACATATGGCATCATGCTCAGTATATAAAGCTGGGGGAGGAAGAAGGAAGGGGGGATGTTCATAGTGATGGCATTTGTCTTCCCAAGTTACACATTATGTGTAATGGAGCCCTGCTTTCCTGGGGATGGCTGAACACCTGCCTGTCCATGGGAAGCAGTGAATAAATTCTGCTTTGCTTGTGTACACAGCTTTTGCTTTACCTATTAAACTGTTTTGTCTCAACCCACAACTGTTCTCACTTTAACCCTTCTAATTCTCTTTCCCGTTCCACCAGGCGGGAGTGAGTGAGCAGCTTTGTGGTGCTTAGTGGCTGCCTGGGGTTAGACCACAACAATATGTTGTTATATAGGTATTTATAACCCCACTACTGTGGTATTTTATGTCTGTCTCTTTGAAAAATCATAGAAGGTTCCTTCTTGTTTTTATTTCAGTATAGATACATTCTCTTATTGGGTTATAATTTTTTTACTCTCATTAATATCTGTTCAGTCTCTGCAATGAGTCAATACATTCCCATTTTCTGTGGAGAAAATATAACAAAAAATTCCCTTCAAGGTTAATATGTTCTATAAAGGTAGAAGAAGATTTGTTTTTCTCTTTTGAAGAGCTATAACCAGGTTAAGATGTTCTTCCCACCTCTTTGAGTGACTTCTGTATTTGTATTTATAAAACAATCCTATCTCAAAGATAGGCTTAAGTCTTATAACAATTAGAATCATTATTAGGGAAACAGTAAAGTTAAATTCTTTATAATCTTTTCTGGCTGAGGATTTTGGAGCACTTCCTATATTGGTATAAAGCACAGAAAGTCTGCATACAACTGATAGCTTTAAATCTTCACATTTCCTTAATTGCTACCCAGGTAAGTAGGATAATTTGCTCCAGATTTGTGGCTACTGTGGTAACCCAGAAACTGACTGGAATATTAAATTGACAGGCTGTAGCGGGTTTTATAGGCTTTACTGGATCAGAGGTTTTGCCTGAACAAAGAAACGACATGCAATATCCTGCAAAATGGATAAAAACATGAAGTGAAAGCTGGTGGGGGGGTTTTGCATTAACTTTCTTTCCTTCAAAAAAAGCCTCAAGAAAATAAGGGATGCTAGGCGTGGGTTTTAGAACTGGTAGGGCACATGGAGTGTCTCAGGTAACAGCTCCTCTGGCTCTTCTCCTGCTGTAGGATTGAAAATCCAGGGCCAGTTCATACCTTGATTTTCACCCATCACACAAGAAGTTTACTGTGTACTTGCTCTCCCTTTCTCCTCATCACGGAATCATAGAATGGTTTGTGTTGTAAGGGACCATAAATATCATTTAGATCCAACCCCCCTGCCATGGACAGGGATCCTTTCACTAGATCAGGCTATTCAGAGCCCTGTATAGCCTGGTCTTAAACATCTCCAGGAATGGGGAATCCACGATGTCTCAGGGCAACCTGTTCCGATGCCTCGCCACCCTTACAGTAAAGAATTCCTTCCTAATATCTAATCTAAACCTACCCTCCTTTAGCTTAAGGCCATTTGTGATCCCAGTACCCAAAGCTACACTCTGATATATCTTTCCAGAGACCACGGTGAACACTATAAAATAAGATAAACTCAATAATACTTTTTTTCCCCTATTTTTTTTTCTTATAACTCGGACTGAAACAAAGCATGTAATATAAAAACAAAGCATATAGTATAAGCATTAGGTAAAGACAAACAAAAGTTGGTATCCTGTTCTCCCTTTCCCTCCTCCACTGGAGACTTGACATCCTCATTTTATTTTACTTCACCTTTATTCAATAACATGGAAACCAATTTGGCCTTACATTAAGCACTCTTTTAACCACAATAGCTCTTAATCTCTCTTCAGAAAACAGATGGTAAATGTAGTGTCACCTCTACCCCTTTTGTAAACTGATTGATCTTTGCTGTACTTCATGTCCTTCTGAACTTCTGAAGGTGAGGTCGTGGTCAGATGTCAGAAGAGTGCCCCCACCTGGCCTCCTGGACTCTGAGCTTTCCAGCCAAAAAGCAGAAGCGGATAAAGGAAATGATTCATGGCATAAGGGCTAGATTTGATACAGTGATTTCTCATATATGTTCAGACAAGCAGAGGTCCCTGCTTTCTTTTAAACTTGATTCTAATTTAAAGCAAATCAACTAAACAAACACTGTTTGAAGTCATCAAAGTACATGGTATAAAAATTCTGCCCTCTAGTGCTGTGAAACAGTGTGATGTCTAAGATGCACTGATTGATTTATGGGAGGGGAAAATATGTAGCCTTGCAACCCACAATTTCAGCCATTTTTATCACTTCCAAAGGGAAGGGAGGGGAGTGTAAAAGGTACTTAATTTTTGTGTATTAGCTAGAGAGAAATATGATTTTAATATCTGAAACAACAGCAAAAGTTACTAAAAAAATCTTGAATCAGATAAATTGTGCAACAGCTTGTCAAAGGCACTTTGGGATAAATTGTAAATGCTACTACTCAGTCAAATAAAGAAAAATCTGAAACAACATCACTGATGGGGAATGTTATGCCATAAGTGAGGTGTGTTGTCAAAGCTTCTTTTAAGTAATAGTTGCAGTTGTGTGATGAATGCTAGTGGGGAACTGCTGCTCTCTTAGCTCCTGCCTTTGAGAGTCTGGAATTCATTGGAGAGGTGAAGAACAGTCTCACAGTCGCAGGGGCACCAGAGTATGCTGGCAGGAAGGGAAAGGATCACATTAAATAGCACCACTAAAGCTCACAGCTCTATCTTTACTAGTTTAATCTCATAAATTAATCCACATTCTCCTAGAATAAGTCTTCAAAGAGAAAGAGGTAATTGGATATAAATACTCTCCTTCCCAAACCCTGAGTTACACTGATACGGCAGCAGACAGCTTTTGGCACTTTGATCTCTCTGCATGATTTTCATTTCCCTTTTAAGCCTTAGTCTTGGGCCTCATTGTTTCATTTCTTTTCCACAGCCAGCTGTACTTTCTCTGCTTCCTAGCTTGTCCTCCAGCCACCCCCTGTGGTCCTTCCTTAAGAACATCAGACATCACCCCTCATTATTCTTTGTTGGCTGCTCTTCTCCTTGTGCTTTTGCTGCAATGAAGCCAGATGAAATGTCTGTGCCCATGTGTGCATATAAAACCCTGCCAAAAGAGATGTGAGTTTACTCTGATACATGGGGCCAACTGCTGCTTAGTGCATTTCTGGTAAATCTGCACTTCCATGGCACAGCTTCTGCTGAGCAGGAGCCATGTAAACTACTCACAAAATACACCACGTAGATAAAACCCTTTGTCTTCTCCAAGTGGAACTGACATGTTTTCATCACTCTTTTGATCACCTCGAGTCTCTTAATACACTCTGAACCCTGTCTTGCCTCTTTGCTGTCACGCAAGATTGATAGCTCCTTGAGACAGCAACTGCATTTTGAATTAAGTCTAGCAAAACAGGGTCCTTGTCCTCATTCAGTGAGTCACACCTTAGGCATGACAGCAAGATGAATATGTCCAAGGAATTCCTGGTCCCTGAAAATGTAAGGCTGACAAGGAAACCAAGGCTCAGTCTGAGAGTAAGTCACCTGGGTCCATCACAAACAGTGTGACTTTGCATACTCCTTCGACAACTTTTGGGCAGACTGCTTAAATCCACAAGGTGCTTGGTGCCCTCAAGGTATGGGGTGGGACTGTCAGCACCAGTGGTTTTCCCAGTAGACACCCAATGGTGTTCCACATGGAACATTTTGGTTCAAGGAAGGGATTTGATTCAAAATGCATGAGATTTGAGGTCAGCAGTCTAGAGTGAGACTTGAATAAGAACAGCGAAGACTATGCTATAAGTTTCTGGAAATGTTATCCTTGGTATCTGCTGTCAGCTCCAAATATAATAAGTATTTCTAGAGTATTTACCAAAAATTCCCGAAGAGCTGAATCAGAATAAATTCCAAGTTTTTTATGAAGTTATTTGCTAAGACAGCAAAAAACTGACTTTTTTGATAAAGGCACTCCCTTCTAGTCCTGGTTTTGCGTAAACAGGAAAAATAAGAGTGTTTTCTTTCATTTTAGTGTCAGCCCATATGTCTTGGTAACTCCAAATGAAACCAGAAGAAAACAGTTGCAGCAAAGTAAGTTTAATTGTCTAATATGGTAAGTTGAATTGTCTAATATGGTAATAATATTCTACTTTAGGGTTTTGTGCATTTTATTGCTCTTGCAACTTTTATCCTCATTTTGACAATGGTTTTGTATGTGCAGCTGTGACGGTAAAGTCAGTACTATGAGCATTCTCCATCATCACGTAGCTTTTCTGAAGATTGACTCCTCATCTGGCTACACTTCATGCAGAATAAATCTTGTTCAGGAGAAGGGTTGTGGTAATTTCAGTGCTGGAGCTGTTCAAGATGGCTTCTACAAAACTGCCAGAATTAGCTCTATCCAGCTTTTAGAGGACTGAATTCATATTGGAGAACCCAACTTTGAACAGTCTCTGGGTCGGTAGGAAGAAGAAAACAGTATTTTTGAAAATACTCCCATGAGGAAACAAAAGTAACTACAGCTACTGTTGGTTCTTGAATCTGCATTTAAGGTTGTAGGTGGCCTTTTCAGTGAAGTTGGTAAAGGTCATTATAGATGGAAAATATCTGTATATATACACTGACTTTTTCTTGGCTTTGAGTCTTGTAGGTGAAAGTAGCTAAGCAGGAACACCCTGAACCTCTACCAGAAAGATCTTTCATTGGCAAAGTTACAGCTAGAGTCAGTTTTGAAAAAAATTCTGTATGCAGCGGTGACTGAGCGCTGCAGTCCTGCACTCCTGGCCATTGATTTATGCAAGATATGAAAGCTGAAGGAGTGTGAGTCAACACTTCTCACATCTTGAGCCTTCAAGGAAACAATTAAATTAAATCCTTCTCAAACTTCGTGAGTTTGGCTGAAATGCTTCACCATCAGGCTAGTATGGGTTATGGGTTGGGTTTCCTTTAGCTGCAAGAAATAAAATTGACTTATCTTGAACCAAACCATAATCTTCTGGAAGGATGAATAGCAGCAGATCATCTTAGACTCGCCTGTGACATTAACAGCAAAGGTGCTGCTGCTCTAATAAAGATCTAGTTTCACTTTGTGCCAGCAGCATGTAAGGTCTGAAGCACGCCAAGTATTTACATTTTGGATACTGGCAGAAATAGGACCTAGTTGAATGCAGTCTCTACCTAAATGTTTGTTTTAAAGGTGAAATAAAAAGCTGATGTCTCTTTGGGGTCTCTTTAGAAACTTGCTCACGTACTGGCTTTATCCTCTAAGAGGACACCTGGTGTTAGTGTCTGATAGTCATAGCCAGTCATTAGGAAATATGATTACTAAGAGTGAAATGAGCTCCTAAAGCAACTGAAGTGATAATGTAAAACACATGTTTTGCTGGGCTTGCTATGGAAGGAATTGTTGGTTTTCTTCCTCTGGCAGTTGATAAAGAGTGAAGTTAAATCAACCAGCCATCCTAGGGCATATGGCTGGCACCCTGTCTGTGTTGTCTTCCACTGACTACACTGGGAAATTGCTGCCCATCTCACATGTGGACACCTATGCTGAAGTGTCTTAATCTGAACCTGATTCATGCATTCCTCTTGCTTTTATTTAAAGAGCATGTGGTTGGGAGGGAAAATTACTTCTCATTTCCCTGCTGGGGAGCATTATATCACAAACATTTCCCTCCGTGCAGCAGTAACATCTTAATTGTAACAACTTCTGCTTTACCTCCAGGACTAAATAATGTGGCTTTTACCTACAGGTTCCCAGAGGTTAAAAAGCAGTCTATTAGCAGTCCCTTAGCTGTTTTTTGTTTTGCTTTTGGGGTTTAGTCCTGGGGTTTGCTCACCATTAGAGTCTCGAGGTAGGGAAAACATTTGCCTTGTTAGCTGATCATTGCAGTGACTGAGTAACATCTTGGGGGATGTCTGCACCCCTTGAGAACAAGTTTGTTCCTGGATGGTCTTCAGGATTACATGTAATTAGCAATACTGCATGCTTTTTAGTATTCTCTCTAACTTCCATATATTTGTTTCTTTTTATGCCTGCTCAGTTGCTAAGAAAGAGCTAGATGACCTGGAGCAGTGGAAGGAAGAGCACAGGCCAGGGCCGATTACATTGGTTCCACAGAGACTGGGTAAGATGTGAATCAGCATTTGCACATTGCAAAATTTTGTTTTACAGAACGTGAGGCATTTTTCACTTTTTCTCGCATGTTACTTATTAAAGAGGTTCAGTATCAATAAGGGCTAACAGGAACCTACTGCAGGTGCTCTGTGCTTCTTGATGGTCATGGCAATGAAGATGTTTCTCAAACAAAACAGTGTAGGTTGTCACTCAAGAAATATGCTGAGATTAGAGTAGAAAATCTGTGCTAACATTTGGGTAAAACAGGTGGATTATCCCTCCTGCTGTTGACACTGTCTTTGGTTGATGTCTCTGAGGGGGCACACATTTGCCATTAGTATGAAGATGGACAGCACGTGTTGGAGACTCTCCAGTTGCCCATAAGAATACTCCTCTGTCTTAGGGGCTAGTATGTGTGCTTTCATGACTGCTGGCTCTTGAAGAGGCAAGAGTGATCCCTGCAGCTTCAGCATTTGTAGGTTAAATGTGCATGAAGCTCTGTATTACCAATTTTATAAAAATAACAACAAAGATAAGTAAATGAAAAACAGGATAAAAAGCTACAAGAACTGAAGTCCCCGTGAACTGATGTGTTTGTGAAGATAATCAACATCTTTTCTAGACAGGTTGTGGTGTTTATTAATATAATAAATAATAAACCCACATGACCCTGTTGGTTGAGGGTTCAAACAGTCAAATCTGTTTATTGGAAGCAAACAACACCCTTTATATGCACTTTAAAACAACACGTGATTCTCTTGACCAATCACCATGTGGTACCACAATGCCCATGTGTGTAGGAGTACATTTGGGACTTCATCTCCCAGGACGCCCCTTCCACCATCCCTAAAACACACCCCCTACAACATGCAAGAGAAACTGTAGGAGATCTCTTCAATTGCAACCACGATAAAATATTTAATTTAGTCATATTTCAGAGTTACTTTAAAAAAGAATTAGAAGACAAAACCAAACCAACTCAACCCAAAACAAATCTTGTTCAGAGAGTAGAACTGCCGATTGTGCTGAAGCAAGAGGAATGTTATTAGAAGTGTTTTTCAAGTACCAGTCTTCAGACCTATCTTGTTTCAGTATCTTTCTTTAATGTCTTTGGCACTAAAGCTAGGAGAAAGCTGATGAAACTTGCTGACAAGACAACTTTAAAGCATCATCTGTATAGACTATGATGGGATGACCTTGAGAAACTGACTAATAAAAATCAGGCAAAATTAATTCTAGCAAATTGAATTATTATAACAATGCCTTTATTAGTTTTATAAACCTAGAGCTGCCCTTCCTTCCCTTGGCTATCATAGGAGAATCTGGGGTGCACGGTGCAGGCTATTGGCTACCTTGACCTGCAAATTAAGTTCTTTCTTTGCCATACTACACATGATAAGTTTGCAGTGGGATAATGTGTATAAAAATAGATAGCAGGTGGGACATAGAGGAATTTGAACTGACTCCAACCCAGACTTGGTTTTTAGATCAAGGTGATACGGGTCCCACATATTCTGCCCTGCAGCCTGAGTCAGTTTGCCGTGGTGGTAATGCCCTGTATTCCCACCATCACGTGCAGTCGTGTGGCCAGACATGGTCTTTGTGAATTCATGCATATCTCTTCTTGTTTGTGAGTCATTCCTAGAAGACATGCTTCTTTCACAAGAGGATCACAAAGCTTTTTGCTGAAGAAAGTGAAATCTGAAAACAGAAATTTGGTGTATGGTGTCTATGCAGAATGTGTGCGGGCTGGCTGTGTGACTGAGGATGTGGTGTCAAAACTGCAGGGACTGGTTGTGGGGAGTCTTACCTTCTTCTGGGCCCATAGCATTTAAAAACTTTCTTGAGGAAGAAGCAAATTAAGAGAAGGAAAAAAAAGTAAGAAAATATGATCCCTTCGGTCATTGTCTAGCTGCAACTTAGACTCCTGGAGACTGAAACGCTATGTTCAGTGCCTCTGAAAAGAGGTAATGTGCAAAGATTATTAGATCTTATCATTCCCATGGGAACAAATTTGGAGCTGAAGCGAGCTCAAGGAAGGAGAAAAAAATATAAGTGGCATCTCTAATTTCACCACTGTAGGTACTCATTAAGGTAAAAAAGTATCATGTGTTTTTTCTCAGAGTGATTTTAAGAGATTACACATCTAGTCTAAATCACCAGAGAATCCTTGAAGTTTCTTAACACTCATGCTTTCCATAGGGAAATAAGTATTCTGGATTTCAGCTCTGTAATATTTGACTGGCAAACTTGCAGGCACCATGGAGAGATGAGAGCAATGAAGAATGCAAGTTCTACCCTCCTTCATAAGCAATGAGTGAAGCAACAATTCATGCCTGATAAAATGGTCTCTTTTTTGATCATATCATATACAGCCAGTCACTACATACTCTGATTACAGCAAAACATCTGACACATTACAGCCAAACCTTGAATGAATTAAACCTGGCTGAAAGGCTATAGGCTATAGCTAATAATGATCAGAAAAATATTTGTTTAGAGATGATGCTCATCACTACATGCAAAAAAAGTACAGTGCACACAAGAAATATTGCCAATAAAAGGCTAGAAAAAAACAGAGATCAAGCATCCAAAAGGTTTAAAAACTTGTTTAGTAGCCGTTTTATTTTCTAGACCTGTGAAGGAGTCACTCCACTCAATGCTAGTTGTATGCTTATTGCTACTCTAAGCTTGTTGCCTGCATCCTGTATGGCCAGTCTTTTTTGAGGACTTATCCTACAGATTTATTTCTGTGCGTAGAAATGTTGCCACAATTAGGGAATTGATCTCCCCTTCACTGAACCTCACAAAAGCACCTAAAGATTAGTTACCTTCCATTAGTAAGTGGAGGAAGCTGCCTTTAGAGAAGAGTGCTCCCTTCTGAAAGATCTAGTATATTTGTCTTACATTTCATAGAATGGCTTGGGTCTGAAGGAACCTTAAATATTATATAGTTCCAACTCCCCTGCCATGGGCAGTGATGCCACCCACTAGACCAGGTTGCTCAAAGCCCCATCCAACCTGGTTTTGAACACTGCTGGGGGTGGAACATGCACAGCTTTGCTGGGCAACCTGTGCCAGTGCTTCACCACCTTCACAATGAAAAATGTCTTCATTATATTTAATCTAAATCTCTCTTCTTTTGGTTTAAAGCCACTCCTCCTTGTCCTATCACTACATGCCCTTGCAAAAAATCCCTCTCTAGCTTTCTTCTAGGCCCTCTTAAGGTACTAAAAGGCTTCTAGGAGGTCCCTCTGGAGCCTTCTCCTCTCCAGGCTGAACAACTCCAGCTTTCTCAGCCTGTCTTCATAGGAGAGGTGCTCCAGCGCTCTAATCGTCTTCAAGGCCCTCCTATGGACTCACTCCAGCAGGTCTATGTCCTTCTTATGTTGGGGACTCCAGGGTTGGATGCAACACTCCAGATGGGGTCTCACAAGAGTGTAATAAAGGGGCAGCATCAACCTTACTTGACCTGCTGGCCATGCTGCTTTTGATGCAGCCCAGGATATCAGGCACGTCAGGTTGCACAGATTGGTGCAGCTGCTTCTATAGTTAGGAGGCACAAAGAGGAGAATTTCTCATTAAAACACTAAGGGAAAATACACTCCCTACCCTCCGAATGGAGTAAGAATTGCTGTTGATTTTCAGAACAACTGAGGGAATTAATTATTTCCTCTCCCAAAGCAAGAAAATACTTTGGAAAATAGTAGAGCAGAATAATAAAATCAAAGTCCTCCATCCCTTAAGCCCTAGTATCAAGTTCTTTATGTGGTTAGGTTTTTGTTTGTTTTGTTTGTGAGTTGTTTGTTTTTATTGAATGCTGAACATTATGGCCAGAGCTTTAGATGTTCTCAAAAGAGAGGCCATGCCTTTGAATGAGGACACCTTCTGCTATGAATGTGAGGTTTGTGGGAAAAGGCTTTGACTTCCATTTCAGAAAGGGGATTCTTCCTCAAGCGCCAAAACGTTAGTTAGAAAATATTAAAGTGATAGCATCCCATTAGAGCTGGCAGAGTCCAAGATCCTAAGTTTGATAAAAGATAAACTTTTTGGTAATAGAATTTCTGACTCTGTATGTGTGTGACAAACTGAGCGAAGGTGGGAATAGTTGGATTGAAAAATGAAAACTCACCTGCAAAGCATGACTGATTTTCTGAAAATGTTCCTCAGTAAACTGATCATATACTGTAGAGACATATTTGTTGGTAGAGTGGGTGATACAGTGGATGCTCTGTAAATAATAAGCAAGTGCTTTTGATGGATGAATAAAATGATCAAAAAGGTCTCCTATCTGTTCTCTTTAATATCAGACAGCTACTGTAATTATGAAAAATTTCCTGTATAGGCATACATCCAATCTGTTATATTGCTATGTTCCAAAGTGACTGGTATTGGCAGTTAAAATGTTCATAAAAAATGCAATTTATGTTTGGGTTTTTTTAAGGTGGAAAGGAATCAGAGGCTCAAGTAAGGCAAAAACAGCAAATGATGCTCATGCAATCTAAATATCAGCAAAAGGTCGGTAAGAATAAATTTGTTTGTTTATTTTTAGAATTCAAAAGAAAGCTTTTCATGAAGTATTTCTTATGACTATAAACTGAACTCAGAGATGCTTGACAGAAGAAAGTTATGAAACCTGAAGGAAGCAGCAGGAAATCAGAAACAAATGTTCTGCACCAAAGAAAATAAGAAATCTGTCCATAAATATGTAGAAATCTGTATCACAGATGATATAGAAAATAATAACCAGTACGGTTGTAAAGCCACTTATATGCCTTGTCGTACCTTTCGGCATGCTGCCTACACTTCAACTAATTGATCAATGTACCACCCTAAACTGTACTTAGGTAGAAATGTTGTTTCTGTTATAAGAGGTATAAATGCTTGTAAGTTATCAGTCAGCTGTGTGATTCCTTGCATGGATGCCCATTTATCAGTCCTAGATTTCTCAGCCTTCTTAAAGACAATATTGGAGTAGCTGTTGCACAGCCTGCATTATTTAGTGTCTCATTTTAAGGGAAAAAATTCTGGAAACTTTCCCCAAACACACTTTAGATTTGAAAAATATACAGTATAGGAGCCGTTACCTTATGCATTCCTTGTATAAATACATATGTAAAATAATTCTGTATGTTTATGTCATGCAGCATAAGAGAGAAGAATATGTAAAAGCAAAAAAGGCAGCTGAAGAAGCTGAAATCCTGAAAAAGAAAGCAATTCAGAGAGAAAAGGTAAACCTTGTTATTGCAGAGTTAGAGCCATATAACAGAGTTCATGTCTTGATGCTTGATTTTGCTGAACTACAGGGAAGAGGCTAATTAAATTAAGTGGTAACCCCAGATGGCATCAAGGAATTAGGAAATCCAGTCCTCCGCCTCTTTGTAGCTCACTAAAGGATGTCTGACCTGGTGTTCTTTGGAGCTTGAGAGTTCCTTGGGCTCTTCAGAAACTCCAGCCTTTCAGTTGCATCCATCCTGAGGAGTTAGCAGAAAGGTAGAACACTAAGGTCAGGAGTAACATTGTGTATGCAGGTTGCATGGTTCACTTTGGCATGAGCTTTCTCTGTAAGATCAGATTGTGGAAGATGGCACAAAGACCTTATAAAATCTATAATTGCTTGTGCACACAGGAAGAATACTAGAAAATCTGGCCTGTTATGGTGGAAAAGCCATCCAAATCATGAAAAGGTCAGCGTAGTCTATCTGCATTGGGCTGAGAGCACCATGAAGTTCAAATGGCCCTCCAGCCCCTCTGGGGCTTGCACATACAAGTGTATTGCTAATGTCAGAGCACTTTTCCTTCTAATATTCTCCATATACTGACACCAATGATAGCTCAGTTTCAAAATTTCTTTTATGATTTTGCATTTGTTTTCTTTTTCTAGTTATTCTCACAAAGCATCTTCTCATCCTTTGTGCTGCAAAACTTTTGTAAAAGTTCATTTGTGTCTCCTTGGTGGCAATCAAATAGTGCTCAAGAGTGCAGTGTTGAATTTAAATGAAAAAAGAAAAGAGGGGAAACATGATACAGATGTCCACAATAACAGGGAGAGAAAGGGAGATTTCAGGTTTGCAAGTTTTATCTCTCAACAGTAAAAATGATTTTCTGTGCAGAAACCGAATCTTGAAAATTAATTAAAAAATAATCAATACTGGTTGGCGTAAAAGGGCATGCATAAACAAAAATAACTGTAATTGCCTCCAGGTAAGGGTTAGTCTGTTCTCAGTCTTTCAGTGGCTAGCATTACTCTTTGGGGATAAGCCCATACACAACAGCTCACTGAGGTTATAAATGCTATCAGGGGAAAATGTCATTGATGGTTACCAGCTCATGTATAGTTCCAGAAGCTATGGAATGAGGATAGCAATGGTAGACAGGGGTTTAATTATTTAATATATGGTGTTTGCCCATGGGCATTGGACAAGAAAAATGTTACAGGGCTGCTATATATAATTTCTAGTTACACCTAAAAATATATTGATGTATCAGTTTTGTTTTCATACTCTTTAATTTCCTTACCTTCACTCCCACAGATTATAAAATCTTTATAGATGTTGTAGATAGTAAAACTTCTAAAGGAGGATGAAACATAATGGCAAACATCTTTGCCAAACAGACTGTCTAATTTGACTAAATAAACATATACCCAAAAGCAATCAAATAAAACAGAGGAGCATGAAAGGGAACTCTTAATATGAAGTTGTTTATTCAGATTGTCTTCCACAATAGTGATTCAACTGATAAGATTTCTTCTTGGAAGATGATTATGTATTAAAAACTCAACCTTGTTTTTAAGAAGAGCATGCTGGAAAGCCACTTAAAGGTATCAATTTGTCTATCTCACCCTGCCTGCAAATGAAAGGCTCCCAAGAGCTGAGGATGAGAGGAGTCTTAGAGAACTGGTACTGTATGACCAATGTTTGCCTTTGGTTACCACAAGAAATAAGCTTTTTATTTGAAGTGATAGATCTGTATTCAACTGCACCTGCAGTGCATCGGCTGAGAGCCGTTTTTCTTGCTGGCCAGTGCTTCTTTTGCTCAAGGTTATTATTCATTCAATAAAAATCAAATTGTCTGATAGTCTGAAGGGAGATAATGGCTAGACAGCTTTATCAGCAGGAGCCCTGGAACTTTTACAGTTGGAAAGCTACTTTGCCAAAAAACATGAATGGTGAAGCCCTACAGACTAATGTGCTATGACTAGAACGGGTGCTGATACTCAACTCAGTTCTTTGTTGATTGTAAGAACAATATAGGCCAGTGCTGCCTGTGAACCTAGGATCTGTTTATGTTTCTGCTTTAATGCTGATTTTGCAGAAAAAACAGCACCCACTTTCCAATTGTCTTTGTGGATGGAGAAAACTGTGTGTCTACCAAAGCAGTATCCAAATGTGGAAGGTCTGCCTTCCACTCTCCATATGTAAGAGTCCACCTGCCAGTGGACCTTGTCATTCTTTAATTAATCTTGAGGTTATTAGGTGCTGAAATACCAATGCACTTGGTATCTACCTTGTCTCTTTCCATCTCTCAGAGAGAAGGAAGATTCTTTATTCTGTGTTCCACAGGACTGATTTGTGTGAACAGATACCCAAGTCTCCCACATGCTCTGTGAGAGGCAGCTTGTCCTGGGACTGCTGTGGTTTGTTCATGGGGTAACCATGGGCTGCATGAGTTTGAGTATTCTAAGGTAGTGATCTCTCAGTGCTCACTGAAATAATTTGAAAAAGAGTTTGTAATGTTAGCAGGAAGTTCCCTATTTCTGTTTTTGTCCCCAGTGCTGAGATGTGTGCCTGATCTGCAGAAAGTGTGGATGTACATGGGAAGTAGTTTTTTTATTAATTTCTCATTAGTAGTAGGTATTTGCAGTTTGGTATCTTTTGTGTAGCCCTTCACATCACAGATTTTGACCAGACTAAGCCATAATTTCCTCTGTGTATTTTGGGTGAAAGGACTGTCAAAGTTCTCCCAAAAATAAGACAGTGGCTGAGATTTGGCTTCTTGTTTTTTAAACTTTTGGAATTTGTGCTGCACATAAAATAGAACAACTTTAGTGCACTGGGTATTTCTATTTGCTGTCATTCAATTTCTGTTGCTGTTACCCTGCCTTTGGCCTTTCCTTGTATGCTCTAAGTCTTGACTGAATTCCAGTTCATACAGCTTTTTGCTCTTACCTTACACAACTTTTTGCTCTTACCTCACACAGTAAACAGTCCTGTCATCTTTAGAAACCGTTTTATTTAGGATAACCTGTAATTTCATTTTATTTTTTATCAAATCATGTGCTTTTTATTTGACTGTGTTAATCAGCATGAATGGCCTTTTTTTTCAGGAATTTGTTAGAACCAGGCACTTTACAGACCTTCTGCTAATATTTTTCAACATGTTTACCTTCAGTATCACAGCTGTTCCGCTCTTGGCTTTGTTTTTGAAGATACTGCCAAATGTACAGTGCTTTGGCAATGTCTACTGATAGATTGTCGTTAGTTAGAGAATGTTCCAGTCCTGTTGCCTGCCACTTGTATGCATCCTAAGCAGGGGTCCCAGGGTAAACTTCCAGAGTAAAAAACAGTCATGTCAACCACAAATGAATAATTTCAAGATGCTGGGGTTTTCTTCAGGTACCATTCTGGTGGTAGAACAGCTGTAGGATATCCTGTTGTTTGGTTTTTTTCTAGTGGGAAACAGAGATGATACTGAAGGTTTGTATTTATCAAAATTAGTATCACTGTGTTTTTCTGGCTAGGAGCTCGACCACAACAACTCCCATGAGCTTTGGATTTGAACTTTCAGGAGCCTTGCAATATGGTGGCAGATCTCACACCCAATGTTTTTCAGAGGGGAAGGAGTCAGCTTGCAGTGTTGGGTAGTGTTGGGAAAAAGTCTGGAAGCTATGGCTGATGTCTTGAGAGTATCAGCATCACCTTTGACTGTAACAGAAGCCAGATTAGATTTCCCTTCTACCTCTTTCCTTTCTTTTCCTGTAAATTGTAGTTACATAAATAGGTGGGAGTCTTTTTGCCTAAAAAATCATCCCTCTCTGGCTGGAGTGGTTAGGAACAAACAAGATATCCCTTAAACACTCTCAAAGTTTACCTATACTGTGCAGTCATGCTCCTCACTGCAGTTTGGTTAAATTTTTTAATTGCATCAGTACATCATATATTCTACCACTGTTTCTGGATGTCAAATGACTGAACAACAGGACATCTTATTCAGAGATTCATCTTCCTCCTTTTGTTTAATTTTCCACTGCCTTTTTCCAAATAAAAACTTCTGAGTCATTTGCCTTCCAGCAGTTTATATCGTCACACAACATAGTGGCTCTTTTCCTGTTTGCAAATATCTGCAAGGATTTTTTTCTTAATCCAATACATGTGAAGGAGGACTTTGCACTTGTTTTGCCAATCTCTTCCAAACAGTCATTCTTTACCCAATTAAAAAATACTCACCCTTAAATCACTGAAGGCAAAGTAATTGAGTAACTGCCAGCAGAATTGTAATTTTTCTGAAACTTTTTCGATTGCAGGAAAGAAAGAAGATTATAGAGTTCAGGGTTTCAGCCCTATTCTTAACAACACCTCTGCCCAGGTAGAGTGTGGTGGTTTGGGTCCTTCTTACTAGGACCAATGTTCCAAGAGAGGTCCCCAGGCAGGGTTGTGATATGAGAACTGTCAAGGCTTACAAGGCCCTTTAGGTACATGGATCTACTAGGAACACCATGTCATTTTCTATTTTAAACAGATCTCTTGACTAGGAGATGTTTGGTCATATCTGATTACGTTTAAATTTGAAATTAGGTCACTTTTGTATCCAACTGCTGCCGTAGATCTTTCAAAGACCAGAATATTAAAATACTGGAATTGAAATAATCAATGTTTGTTTCTCATTTATTGGAAACATCAAATATGTTTTCCTGTTTTTAATGCTGTAGGCAGAGAGACTTGAAGTTAAAAAAAGAAAAGAAGAAATGCAAAGAAGAGAGATGTTCCTTGAAGATCAAAATTAGTAAGTAAAATTTGAAAATTATTACCTTAAATTCCTCATCCGTTTGTCCTTGTTTGTTTGTTTGTTGGGTTTTTAATTATTATTTAATATTATTTATTTGTTTGTCTTTTTTTTTCCTGGTTCGGGGTTCAGGAAGGGCTTCTGTTGCTATTTTTTTCAATTTTTGATTGAAAAACTTGAAACTTTTGATTTCAGGACAAGGGGCAGAAACTGACACGCAGGAGGTTCCTACTGAACATCAGGAGACACTTTTTTACTCTGAGAGTGACTGAATATAAGCACATGTTATCCAGGGAGGTTGTGAATTCTCCATCCTTGGAGATATTCAAAAGTTCTGGGCAGCTGTCTCAAGGTGGCCCTGTTTTAGCGGGGGTTGGACAAGATGACATCCAGAGGTCCTTTCCAACCTCGAAGATTTTATGATTCTGTGAAATATTCCAAGCCTCCTCCACACCCTGTGAGAAATTTGATTCTGTAGACTTCTCTTAGCTTCCTAAAACACACACTTACAAATGAAAGCTGTGAATTATAGAATGACTGTGTTCTTTCTTTCTCTAACTAATCAATAGGTGATCATTCAGTCCAAGACTAATTATTGAAACAGGATTTAAATTACATCTCCACCCATTTATTTTATTGACTAGTAAAGAAATCTAACCTACATGGAAATAATGAGGACTTCCTATATTTAGCATACTTAAATATAGATATTTGTTGTGAAGACCTGTTTCCCAGGAATACCCCCTTAATATCAGATTTAAATACAGCTTAAGTCCTGGCATAATTAATTCCATTGGCAGTGAAGTTCCTACCTTGCCCATTCACTCTACCCTATTTATTTATTTTTAACTGATCCAAACTGATTTTATCACATAATTAACACACAATACTGTTTAGTCACCTTTACCTTTTTTATCTTAGGCTTCTGAAATTACTCACCTTTATGTTTAGCCTGATTGATTGCTTTTTTCCTACTCTGTGACCTTTAAGGGAGTCACTTTTTTCCCATACTGGTAGCTCCAGTTTCTTCACCGTTTGCCCAGACTCTGCTCTCTAATGCACAGACATTTTAGTGCTTTGTCACTCATCTCAGCCTTTCTTGTATTTTATTTTTGTTTCTTCGCATTTGACATCAGGCACAGCTCTTTCCTTTAATACGTTATCAGCATTTGTCTCTAGATATTGGTGTTTTGCTTGCTGTTTGTCCTCGGTTTGTCCTGGTGTGGATTTTCCCACACACACCTTGATTCCTCAGGATTTCTGAAGACCCTTCATAACTTTAGATCTTTGCCTGTTTCTGACAGACCAGACACTTTCATTCTCTTTGGACCTAAATCAACAACAGACACATCAGGTCTTTGCAGTGCAAGGTCCTCAGTTACGGGGCCTTGCTTCTTCCTAAGGGAATTGTCAGGGTTTTTATCTTCTAATTTAATATAATTTTTCGTCTTAAGGTATATTCAGTTATGAACAGAGACATATCTTTTCCTTTCCCTCACCTTCTCTGTCTGTACCTTTTTTTGCTTAGGGTGAAATGAATTCTGATGTTCAGAGATTTTTCCATTAAAAGTAAGTTCGGTTTTGCCAAAAGCAGGTCCAAACCCTCCGAAACACAGGACAAATGGAAATGGCCACAAGTGAAAAATTTCTTCACCAAAAGGGTAGTCAAGCACTGGAACAGGCTGCCTCAGAGAAGTGATTGAGTCACCATCCCTGGAGGTATTTAAGACGTAGAGACTGGACTTGGCAGTGCTGGGTTAACAGTTGGACATGATGATTGTAGAGGTCTTTTCCAACCTAAATGACTCTATGTGGGCAGTCAGGTAGTCCCCAGCTGGTGCAGGAGCTCTGGCTACCGGGGCACTGAGAAGTGGACTGGCTGGCAGCCGTTCTGTCCACTGATTAAGGAAAGGTTTGGGAGCATTCATCTTTGGACACTAGTTGACTGATGCAACTGAAGGTAAAGATGGGCTGTCAAGCTCCATTGCTTGAGATTATGTAGAACTATCAGAACATTATTTGTATGTACTATGTATTGAACCTACACCAGAAGGGCTCTGCAGCTACTACTCCTGGAGGAAGTGAACTGAAAAACTACCTACACTGAATGCAATTTTGGTTAAGCAAAAACCTTCCATGCTGTACAGTGTTAAGGAAACTTCCCTGTCCAACCATCCAGGAGTTACTCTGGCAGTCACTCCTGCACTACCTGAGCTGGGACCAAAGCCCCTTCACAGCTACATACCCCAGCTCACACAGTCAGACCAGGTTTCCTTACCAGCTTGACCCCAGTCTTCCCATAGCATTGTCTCAGACATCCAGATCCTTAAAATAATTTTATCATAATGCAATAACTAAACAACAAAATACCAGCTTGACCTGGTGCCTCTGAGGAGGGATCCTGAACATGCAAAGTGTCAGCAGTTCATGGCTTCTTGCCTCAGGCTTGAGCTCCTGCCACCCAGAGCTCAACCTGCAGCTCTCACTGCAGCTGCACACCAAGCTACATGCACTGAATGTATTCCTCAAGATATAGAGTGACACTAGTGTCTTCCCTGTTCTGAAGGAATACTCTGGTGAGCAGAGGAAGGAGAGTCTGTGCCACTGGATGTTTATGAGGATGCACTGCTGAGGTACACTGCCATTATGAAGCACAGCATCCAGGAGTAATGGAAAGATTCTGTGTGACATTTCAGATTTTGTGAAGTAACTCTATTGAAGTACTGCATGTTCACATAGAAATGCTTGGTATTAAAAGTCATGCTATGCAAAAAAACCCCCCTACTATGCAAAAATGAGTAACTCATTACTTGCATCATCTAATACCCTTTGTCTAGAGGCAAAGAGAACAAATGCAAGGTTGTGCCCCTTTCTTTACTGTCTCTGTTGGAGTATTTTGATCTCCTTCTCTGCTTGCTGAGAGATGGGGGAAGGAAGGTCATGTGCTGCATATAAAGCAGTGACCTCTGCAAAGTCATGGCCTGTAGAGCCATTTCAAAAGATAAGTTCCCTTGTTAGTCTGTCCTCTATAAGACCTGTAGCTGCAACATCACAATTTTCCTGAGGAGATCAATGCCTACCAGCACTCTCATTAGCTGGAAAACCTTTTAAAATTGATCACCACCTCTAGCCATACCAGCCTCCAAGGGCTACAGCCCAATCAGTACCTCTCCTGCATGAAGTGCCGCTTCTATTTGATAAGGAAAGGCACTTAAGATTCTCATGTCGTTAACATACTATGATGCTGTCTAGAATTTTGTATTTCTGATTAAATTCTTGTCACTATTAAAACCAAGAACTTCTCAATGAAATCTCTTTTCAGAGGGTCTAACATGAAGTGCTAAAAAGAAAAATGGTCTGCAACTTTTTTTGCTGTCTACAGAATACAGTTATTTTCTATGTTTGAAAGCCTTGTAAGCTTCTTTGGACTTTGGATTGAAGAAGTTGCTGCATATGTAGGAAGTGATTGCTACAGTTTGTGCTAACAGAGAAGAAGCATATGAGGGATTTGTTGGTCATAATGTTGCTGTGGTTCTGTCCTGGCAAATGCCAGATTTAGAAAATGGGGAGTGTGTGTTGACTTTCTACCAGAAACTACTTACCCATGAAATGGAGTCCTTCATTCTGAGTCATGACATCTTGGATACATTTTGCATTATGGGCCTGATTGTGTTTCTGTCAGGGTGCATGAAAAGGTAGTGAAGGCTTGTATAGTCCATACTTTGGAATTGCTGATCCATGTGAGGGAAGAACTGACTGTCCATCTTTCCAAATGGAAACAAAGAAGAGGACTTTTCAGGACATCCATCTTTAGTTAGTACACTGTCATTTAAACAGTAATGAGGATGGGTATCTCATGACTTGCTTTTCTCATCTGCGTAGCTGCGTGAATCTGTGTTTGAACTCTAGGGTATCTCACCATACAGCTTAATCTAGTAAGATGCTTTTATTTAATTTGTATTCTACTTTCCAAAAACTGTTGTGTTGGATGTGGTCCACTGGTTTTCTAATAGTCATCTACCTATTTATGTAATGGGTAAAGCAGTCTAGAACATAGGTTACTTTCTAATAGTACATGATGACTGTTGTGTCACTTCATCCTTCACTTTGTCACATATTCATGCCTCTGTTTTTGTGAAGGTCGTGCTCCTGTAAAAATTCTTGGCACTGCTGCACTCGGGTACATGTGTGGACTCAATATATTCTGCTCAGAATTTGGAACTGGAAACAGAATTTGCCAGAGTGCCTGTAAGTGCGTATTCCAAACACAATGCAGGAGGTTCACCAAACCAAGTTGATATACGCTTGCCTGCCAAGGCAGTTTTCTCAAAAGTCATAAAATACAAGAGAATAAAACCTGAATCAAAACAGAATTTTAATTTATTTATCTATTTTTACAGGATGAATACTAGTGTCCTTGCCAGTTTTCAGTCCCCTATGATGTGTGGTTCAAACAGCAGGCTGGCAAGAGATTTTCCCCACAGAAGTACAAATGTAAACCTGACCAGACTTTTGATATAGGTTGCTATAGAGAATGAAAGAGAACTCACACAAAAAGGGTTTGCAGCCTTGAGAATCCTTTGTTTGCTTCTTTTCACCACAATTGTCTTTGTTTTGTTCATTTGCTCCTGATTATTTTAAGCGTTGTCAATTATTTAGCTAACAGGCAGAAAACTAGGCTTTTATAGACATCCAAAGGGACTCTCTTGAGTGTAATAATGAAGGCAGTTTATTGAACGCCTGTGAGGTTGCTTTCTAATTGTACACATTAATCTGCCCATGCAAGCTGGCTGAAAATATAGAAGCAGATTGCACATGCAGATGGAGCACACAGAATCTATGCAAAAGACTGATACGAAACTGCATTTTCCTTAAAACTGGATTTATGCTTATTACTTCAGATAATAAATGAAACTTACATCTAAAATAACATCCAGAAATATTGGATGAGTTTGTGGATGGAAAGAATAGCCTAGCTCTGTTATTTTATCCAGTCAGGGAAACAAAGAAAGCAGGTGAGTTGACAGGATAGATTAGTTTTGAGTGTTGGTAGGAAGTGATGAAAATAATTCTGCTGAGAAAGTTGCCTTTTTTCTTTAATCTATTTGTATACTTTCTTGAAGCCTTGTACCTAAAATGAACTAGTGCTACATTTTTTGTTCTTATCCCCCAAATCAGGAACACCTGCTCAAGAGCTTGCAGACAAGAACCTATGCTCACTCTGGCTTTTATAACCATCCCCTTGTCTCATCCTAGTGGGAATGAGGGCAGCATTTAGTCCCAAACAATAAGAAATACGTGTGGGTTCCCTGATCTACAAGTATCTTGTGAATGTAGGGTGCCAGCTCTAAATCCCTGAATTATACCGTTCTCAGTGGAACACCTAGCAAATTCATGTTTCTGCACTTTACGTATACTTGTTGAGCTTCAGGTAGGTTGTTTTACACAAGAGCTTTTAAGAAAAGACTCTACCTGAAGAGTAGCTGTAAAATATAAAGTCAAATATTCATGGACTATCACAAAGCACCTGAAACATGGACTGATTTCCACTGTTATGCACTGTCCTCTCAGCACATTACTCAATGATCCTGGCAGCAGCTACTATTTTGCCACAACAGCTCTTAAGAGTTTTTCAGCCCCCGAATCCAGTATTATGCTTCATTTCCCAGTGACTGCATCTGTGCTAATAAATTAAACACTGTCAATCATTGTCACTTTTGAGGCCAACAGGCCAGAGACTGCCTGCTTCCACTGCTAGAAAACTTTTTTACCTCCCAAAATGGGGCAGTAGCATCTAAAACATCTTGGGAGTTACTTATGGTTGATATTTATTCCTGGACAACAGCTAAGAGTTATTTGGGAAAGTGCTGTTTGGAACAAGTCTAAACAATTTCAGGAATGGTAACACAGTATAGGTGACTGAGTTCCCATGCTAAGACTGTTGCTCGGTCCTATTAAGCATACCAGTATGGGAGTAGGCTATTTAAATTAGCCGAGCAAAAGGCTTTTTCCCAATGGTGTAATGGGAAACAGAGCTACCAAGAAAGACAAAATACCCTCATAAGATTGCTCCAGCTTAACCACTGCTTCTGAATGGCTGTCTTTTCTTCCACCTGGTGTTTAAGTATAGTCAGAATGCAGGTTAGCAGCCTGTTAGGAGGGTGCCTTCTTCTTGTCTTTTCTAAATCTTGGATCGCCTTTTGCCTAGCTATATTTGAAGAGTATCAGGATTCTGCTGTATTCAGATAAATTTCTTCAGCTCATGCTCTTATTTCCTTAATGTTAATTAGCTTAAAGTTTTAGCGAGTGAGTGAGATGTTGCTCCAACTGTCTGTGGAACACCTATGGACACTTTGATATGCTGATTTCATGCTGGAGACAATACTTTCCTTTCCATAACATGAATTCAACTGTGGTCTCTCTGACTTCTCCATTTTCCTGCAGTATGGCTTATGCTATGCTTTGCACTGTCATGACTACAGGTTTAGTATTATGAAAAATACCTTTCAGATATTCAGTCTGGCAACTCTAGATGCATTGCTGGGTTTCCATAGAGATGACACAAAACAAATTAACATATGTAAGACCTGAGTTGTCTTTTGCCAGGTCCAGAAATCTGAGTCCCTTGTGATAGGGTCACTTGATTAATATATTACTTAATTTGGTGTAGTAGGGTGTTTCCTCTATTCAGAGGCAGTCTTGCTGAGAAACTTTATTTGCTTCCACTCTTGTAATCATCTTTTCTGATACCAAAACTGAGTTAACTTTTAATCTATCAGTGTGCTGATCCTGGAAAAGTAGTGTCTTCCATGACATTTTTATTCAAATAAGTAGAAATTCTACATCCCCCATGTAATTCTTTTGACATCCCTAAGGAACTAGGACATCCAGGTATAGACCTAAGTTGCCAGATATTTCTTTGCAGAGCTTCAACCTTCTCTAATATATTCCAGATTTTCTATAGGAGTTCTTGATCTTTCTGGTATAGAAATAAATTGCTATTTTATCAATTTTAGCGTAAGTAAAAACCCGCAAAATCCGCAATTTAAAACTTCAAGTTGCCAAAATTATTCTGTGCAATCTTACCACTTAATAACTCCCCTGTCATGGAAAAAATGTGAGTGCTTAAGACTCGTGCGAGAAGACTAATAATTTGTTCAACCTTGATACTCTATAGATCAGGGAAACAAATATTTCACTTGGTTCTTTCTTTACTGTGCATTGGCTGAGGTCTATGTAAGCTGCCCAGGTAATGGAGGAAAGAGAGGGTGAACTGGGAATGATCAGACTCTAAAAGCCTGGCTTGCTACAACTTGGGCACATACTTTGTATGTGAAGTAGTAAAATGTTTTTGTATTGTGTAGAGTAGCAGAGAACTTGTGGGTTCTTGCTCTTTCTCAGAACTTCTCCTCAATGTACCACTCCTCACTGACTACCAGGACATTTGCCAAAAAGACATCTACTCACCGTTTCAAATCATGGAGTGAAAGATAAAAACACATTTGGTAGTCTGTTTCAGCTGTTAGTCATCATCACTTTTTGGCAGCCAAGGCTTTTTCTCTAAGCTTAAGTCTTTGGTAGAGGCATCTTCTCCCCCACAGAGCTAGCTTGTTGCCCTGTTAGGAGAGTAAATCTTTGTGTTGAATATGTCTTGAAGCACTCTTTCTGCTCTCACTTCAGTGCTTTCATGCTTTCCAAAACTGTATACAGAAATAAAATTGCCTCTTTCCTCTAACTCTTCCTTTGAGTGAGCAAAGGCTGGAGTAGATATGTCTGGTACTGAAGGCTAGGAAAATGATTCCCAGTCACAGCATCCAAACTCCTGTTGGTTTTGTTTGTGACTTTGTTTAACTGCACTTGGTTGAAACTGTGAGCAAAGTGGTGCTACTTTGAAAATCTGCTTTATAAGGGATGCAACTGGAAAAAGAAATTTGTGCTTGACAGAATAAGAAATGACGATGCTGTGCAATTCTGTTTCAAATAAAGACACTTTTTTTTTAATGCCACAAAATGCTTCTAAGTCTTTCTGCTTGATTAAGTAATCTCTTGTAAGGCTTCATCATATTAACCATGAAGGAAAATTCCTTCAAATTATCTTTTAAATTACTTACCAGAGATTTATAGATCTGGTCAAAGGATTTGCAACAATTCAGTGAAGCAGTTGCATCCTGACAATGTCCAAAGATATATGAGTCTGTGTTACGGGGACTTTACAATGAGGAAAGAAAACATAGCCACTGTACACCCCAAATATGCGAATGAAAATAATTGTTTGCTTAAAAATCCTCCCAGCAAATGTCTTATCCACAGTATAGGTTCTGTATCCTCTGTCTCATTTCATTTTGTCTGTTTCCATAACCTTTTTTTTCCACCTATGTTGTTTTTCAGCAGACACGTGATAAAATATCTAGGCTGGATTCCAAGGGTGGGATAAAAAGCTGTGTTTATTTTTATGGAAGCACTAACAATTCTATTTGGATTGGATTTCTTCATAGCAAAACCAATGAATTATTGAACAGATTGCACCTGGGTTTGCCAAAGAGTGATTCCTGTCAGATTGCTAATCCTGGCCCAGAATCTACAGCATGGGTAAGCAAAACTATGGTGTGTGCTGTATTTTCTATCAGCTTTCCAGGTGCTGTCAATAATGTAATGTTAGAATATTCTAACTGAGCTTAATTGTCTAGACATAACTCAGTGAGTACCAAGGAGTCTTTCTGGGTGAATGAGATTGCCTACATTGTCTCTTACAAACTGGCAGAGTATTCTACATAGTAGGGGAGCGCTCACAGATCTCTCTCTGATAAATGAGAACCAGACTTATATTCAAAGGTCAGATCAGAATCTTAAATATGCCCTGTACTCATCCGCTGGTGGTAAGCTTTCATGAAATCTCAGTTAGTTCTTGTCAGCAGAAGCTTTACTGCATTAAAAATCTAGTCAAAAGAAAGAGAAGCCTGTTTCTCACTGTATCATAAAAAGTGATTCCATACACTGCTTGGGGTCTTTGTCCCAGTTTGAGTGAGCCTGGTGAGTATCACTGTAATTAGGAAATAGATAAAGTATTGCTTAAGTTTAATTATTCTAATTGCCTCTAAAAGGCTTTTCCACATACAATTAGTCTCTTCATGTCTAAACCAAACTTTCCCATTATGTAATAACTTTCAGTGAGGAATATTAACCCTGAGACAGAAGTATTTCTCCTGTAGGGAGATTTGTAATTGGGGGAAGACAGAGAAGAGGCAGCCAAGTGGACAGAAATTACTCTTATAAGTAACTCAGAGTAAATTTGGAAGTATCTGATCTAGGCAGCCCTCTATTGTATACAATCTTGAACAGCTGAGTAACAGGAAGGGAAGATTTGCCTCCCTATTTCCTCAGAAGCCTTAGAAATGTGCAAAAATCCTCCTGTTACTGAAATTGCTGCCAACAGAGTATATGACAGCTGTCTTGCCCCTCCTTTCTCTCCCTGATTTGCATGAAAAGGGAAGGTGATATTGAAAATAGATTTCTTTCCCATTTGATTTTGCCAATAATTTGTGCCTCTGAAAATCCTAAAGAAATCTTAGCATATGTGAGCAGATACATAGCTTGAAGGAGCCAACTCCTGTCCAGCATTGCTGGACAGAAGGTCAATTGCAGGAGAGTGGCTTTCAGACTATCTTTTGTAGTCCTGGATGGACAAGAAAGATGAAGGACCATGGGAAGAGACAAAAGATGTCTTGAAACTACTTCTGCCTCCCTCTTGAAGCATCCAACACTCCAAGCAGTGGGGAGCTTGTTCTTTGGTAGGGAAGACCCCGCTCTGCAGCCTTTGTATGGAGTGAGCATTGAACTGCGAACACAAGTGAGCTCATATCCCCAGGACTGACTTGGATTTCAGCCTTTTGGTGTGGTCTTCATATCCATAGAGAAGTGGGTGGATGTCTGAAGGAAAACTGAATTCTTTCAGATGTTCAGATACTTCTTTTAGCCTTGGCCTTCTACTTTACCTACATATGTGTGGCTTTCTCATTCCAGGTTTTGACAGGTTTCTTAATAAATTATGCCAAATTACATACCATAGTTAATCTTTTGCTTCACTAGTGTCCAAGCAGGTAAAATACATCATTCATCAGTACTGTTCTTTAATACGAGATGATGTTATACCTGTCGGTTGCATAGCAGCATTTCTATAGTTTTCTGAATCAAGTAATCACTTGCTTGTAATGCAGCAATGCAGTTAGCAGTTCTCCCAAGCAACCTGGATGAGGTATGGTCTATAGGCATACTCACACCATCTGAGCTCTGTGTGAGGAATGTGAAGCACATAACCAATGAGCTGTTATCTAAATAATCTTGGCATAGTATCAAGATTCTAAACCAGTGGGAAAGCTAGGACTCTAATTTAGATGTTATCTTGAACGTGTCCTTTGTCTGGAGTAATTAAAAGATTCAGGAACAATGCATTTGAAGTAGTGAAGTGTGATAAGCTTAGGACATGGCTGATATGCATGTTAAAAGGGGGCATATATGTACATATATGTGAGTTTTAAAATTTAAAATTCATCCTCTAACACCAGTTTGGGACAATGTAATAATGGTCAAAGTTTTTCCCTCACATCATTTCTTTGGTAGTGATATTAATTCAGCACACCTAGTTCGACTATCAAGGCCAAATGTTACTTGATGTCTGCGAACAAATTTGACTTCTTTGGAGTGACTCTGTCATTGATGACTTTTTTGGCCTGCTTATTTAATCAAGCTCATAATTAATTTTAATCCTATCTTTCAAAGTGTGACCAATCCTGTGTAGATTTTTATTGTCTTCCAACTTGATTAACATACTCTCCACACAATTCTCCAAGCCATTATGGAGAGTAATGAATAATATCGGACCCAGAATGAGTCTCCCTGGACACATGTAACAACTTCTCCCAGCTCAAAATTGAGCTATTAATAATTGCTTTCTCTATTCAGTCTTTTTAGCAAATTATGTGCCTGTTGTTTTAATGGTGTCATTCTGCATGCATATATCAAGTTTTGAGAACATTGTGTAGACCTGCCACAAATTCCTCACTGAAGTCAGACCTGCATGATTTTTGTATTAAATTATACTGTCTCATTATTAAGTGTGCTACACTATGTCCCTGCTCAAAGACTTTTCAGTACAAGTTCCAGTGTATAATATCCTGAAGATCCTATAAGATCCTAATGGCTTTTTGCTAACAAATAAAACTTGTGAAAGACCAGGGCTAGTTACTATAATGAAAATGTACTGCACAGCTGAATATACTATTTGTGATGTGTAGTTCAGATTTTCAGGTGTCTTGACTGCCCCACAAATAATAGAGCAGATTTGATCTCTCAGTTTCTGTTGTCTTTCCTCCACAAATAATCCTGCTTTTCCCTCTGTTACCAGGCCTCTGTTCTGCTTTTTTATCTTGGTAATATTTCCAGTACTTTTTTTCTTCCCAGAATACCCCATCTCACTATCATATATCCTAATTGTGTTTTGTGACTGCTCAGATTATGTTTGTCGCTGGGATATGTGCTGTGGATACTTTGTTGTGATGTATAGGTGGACGTTCAGCCAAGCTGAATCACAGAGAGGCTTTTAAACACTTCTTGTTTAAATTCTAGTTTCGAGACTAATCTTTTTCTTGAGTAACTAGAATCATTCAACGATTTGTATTTGTTAATTACCCATATAACAAATTGGGAATAAGGTTCTGGAGTTTGGCCTCCCCTTCCCCACACCAATATATTTTTATTTTCTGCTGAAAAATAGACAAGAAGCCATGCTTATAAGCAAGCTCTTCGAGAGGATGATAACAGAAGATTAGAGGAAATGAAGCAAGAACAACGAAGGAAGGTATTTATACATTAACAGTTTGCATAGTGTAACTTTTTTGCATGCTGTGAAACCAATTAAATACATTGATTACCTGTAGTCTATGCACAGAGCTTTTCTTCAGCAAAAGTCATTCAGTCACTGTTTTCAAACATTGTGAGAGAGACGAGTCGAGTTGCAAAATTTGAACAGGGACGGGGCAATTATCTTCTGGGTTCAAGGCTGTTTGCATCTGGATAAGAAGCTCCTGTTTGCCTCTCCATATGAACAATTGTGCAGAGTGTTTTTTCACCATGGCACCTGATTTCATAGGCTAAGGAAACCAGTTTACTCTCTCTCAAGCAGAAGTCGTCTTACTGAGATATTCATGATGATCTCAGTCTGAATAGTCTGTTTCTACAGAATTGGCACCCCTGTGCCCTGCTTTCTCAAATGGGGACATGGAAACGTTCAGATTTGCTGTTAATTATAGTATGCTTCTCTGTTCCCTTACTAATCACCTAAATGAAGAGTTTTGAATTGTCTAAAAAGCAGGCATGCCGTAACTGCAACTTTGAACTCCATCTTCTGCATATGTGTCATGCATTGCCTGAAATGTGTCTGAACACTGTAGTCCCTCTGTTATAGATCTGGGTACCATAACCACATGAAGTTCATCTACCAAAGGCAATGGCAGCGTGCCAAGTTATCTGTCTTGGCTCCAGGTCTGACTTCGAAAGTGCAGGGAGGGCAACATTTGAAAATTGTATTAGCGAATCATTGGAAAACATATGAGCAAATACTGAGCCTCTTGCTGTGCCTCTACTGTTACTAGTATCCAAATTCATGTTAAAGTACTTCCCCGGTCACAGAATCTTAGCACAACAAATTCCATGCAGTGAGTTTCTACTAGAGCTGGAGAAGTGACTGATCCCCTCTCGTGGATATTTTTCTTTACATGTTGGGGATGTGTCCTCATTTCATGTTATTGTAACACTGTGATACCGGAAACAAAAGGTGGAGCAAAAGGGAGGTTCTTAATTGCTATCCCATCAGGTGTATGCTTATTCCCAGGAACTATAAAGAGTAAAATTTTTTAAAATCAGTCCTGATGAGTGTAAGACTGGTAGCTGTTGTATTCTGTACATTAATTCTTCCAAAGAGAAAATAGCTACAGATGTAGATTAGCTTGCCCCTAATTGATGAGGGTTTTTTTAAGGGACTTGTGTAGAGCTGTAGACTCTTTACTAATTTCCACAGATTACTAAGAAGGTGTTGGCTGCTTTTAAGGCTGGACTTGTTTGCTACATGGTTCCAAGGTCTCCTTGCCTTCACAGTTGCTGCAACCTATCAAGCGAAGTAATGCACTACTTACAAACCTACAGTAAATAATATATATTTCAAAAGCACCAATAATTGTCCCTCAGATATATGTTGGCTCGTTTCTACTTCAAACCAATATTTATTAAAGTAATCGTGAATTTTGTCTTGTGTGTACCTCCTGGCACAGTGTAGCTATAAAATGTGTAGGCATTGTCAGTTCCCTTTTTAGTTCACAATAGGTTTTAGTATGTATTACTTGATTTAGAAATTTTCAGTACATTTTGCATCATATACACACAATATATTTCAGAACATTACTCCAAGAGAGGAGTCGGCATACTGGAAAGTCAGATACTGAGTTTTAATTTTCAGGTTGAATAGTTATTTAAAACAGTGAAAATTAGGGTTGGCTTTTTTATTTCTTAATCCTGTTTCTTCTTTTAGGGCTAGACAAATATTGATACACAACACATTCTCAGTTATTGATTTTCTTCGTACATGTATTGAATAATTACTATTTAATGTTCCACTTAAATTGATTTAAAGAAAAAAAAAGACTTGTGGTTCCATTCAGTTATTGAAGCTTTTATCTAAACGAATAATTTTATTTTAGTTTCTATTCCTACTGCCTCACAGTTGCTATGGAAAATATGAAAGATGGGTCTGTTCCTATCCCTTCACATTTGCCCTGCAAGCCAAATTTTTTCTGCGGAAAAGTCTGCACCTTCAATTCTTGGGTGCCTTGCAAGGAGCAAGAGCTACACAAACAAGCAAATATGCAGACCAGAGTCATGCAAACTGTGTTTCCTTCACAGTTCTGGCTAAAATTGCATAAGCAAACTCTCCTTTGAAAAGAATTCCATTTGACACTGTTCATATACCTTAACATTACATAAGGATGGTTAGTCTGCTGCAATGCTGGGAGCTTGCATATGCTTCCACCACACCAAAAAGTATCATTTGCCCTCCTCACCCTGGTAGGAGCCCCAGGGAGCTGGAGGTAACACACCACGCCACATACCCCATATCTCATCTTTTCCTTGTGCTCTTTAGAGGCAGGAGGGAAAAGGGCATGTCTCCTTCTTACCCTATTGCCATGACAGCTCTGTCTGCTCCTGCTAGATTACTTTGGCTGTCTTCCCCCTTGGACCCACAGGGAAATTCAAACCTCTGGGTTGGGGCAAGGGGAAGCAGACTGGTGTCTGGCATACCCCCTTAAATTCAGACTGTAAATGTCTGAATCCTGTAACTTCCCACTTTTTAAGGCACAAACAAAGATCACCCACATGCTAAATAGAAAAATGAACTCAATTTTTGACATAGTGCTGTCACATAAATAAAATGCTGCTGAGAGATGTTCTGGGAATGACATGTGGCTCTAACTGAGGTTAATATCATGTGGAATTAGTAGGGTTTGCAGCATGTTAATTAAAAGTAAGTTAGTTTGTTTGTTTATTTGTTTGGTTTTCACTTTTATCATTCCCAGGCTGAATTAATGGAATTTAAACAAAAGCAGGAAGAGGAAGCCAGGACAAGAGCACATCAAAATGAACAGAGGAGGTACAGTGCAAAAAATGCAGAGTACACTCTAATTGAATTCCCACCTGGAAAGGGTCTCAAAATTGCAGGCACTCATACTTTAGAAGACGATTGCAAAGAGGATCCTGTATCTCGTCTCTGGTTTAGCTTTGCTTTCAAATGAGGCACTAATATCTATCATTACAACTGCTCACAGTAACACAGGATGACCCAGAGTGCCTTTTTAATTTTCTTTATCCTATCAGCATAGGATACGGGATAGGGTAGAAACTATTAGTACAGTATTAACTACTAGTACGGTAGCTTCAGCTGGGACACACGTTTAGCTATCTATCTATCTATCAGTAAGATAGATATAAAATCTACATAATTTTACTTTCTTCTACAGTGGATTACTTAGTCCATTGTGCTTGACTGTCACTAAGGTTAACTGACAGAGCTAAACATGGGATTTGATATCCATACAGATAGACACTGCTCTTGCAGTGCAGCAAGGCCTTCTGCATCAGCATTTCTTCACACCTCAGGCTGTGCCTCACTGCTGTGACCTCTCCGTGCTCAGTTGTTCTCATCTTCCGCTTCAGTCACTTAATTGACTTTCCGTTATCCTGAAGCACAGCTTTATTCTCAGCTTCATTTTCTGCTGGAAAAAGAAAACAATTCTCAGGTTCAAAAATAAATCCACCATTTTTTTATACCATTATGGAAATATTAAAAAAATACTTCTGTAGGCAACCACTCTCCATACTGCTTTCATTTCTTTTTTTTCTCTAGCAAAGACATTGAGATAATTACCCATAGAAGCTAATGAAGGATTTTCGATTCACTCCATCTCATGTCCCTATGTAGAAATAACACAGTATCTTGCATTTTATATTTTTCTTACCAATGTTATTATAAAACATTAAAACAACAGTCATGTCTAAGCATGTATGTCATTCCTAAGCATTAATAGGGGGAAAAATGAAACAGTTTTCAAAAGAATCATAGAATTATTTGTGTTGAAAGGCACCCTAAAGATCATTGAGTTCCAACCTCCCTGTCATGGGCAGGGACACCTTCCGCTAGACCAGGTTGCTCCAAGCCCCATTCATCCTGGCCTTGATCATTTCCTGGGATGGGGCATACACAGCTTCTCTGGGCTACCTGTTCCAGTGCCTCACCACCCTCAAAGTAAAGAATTTCTTCCTAATAGCCAATCTAAATCTACCTTTGAGTATACAGCCATTACCACTTATCCTATTACAACATGTCCTTGTAAAAAGTTCCTCTCCAGTTCTCTTGTAGCCACTTTCAGGTACTGAAAGGCTGCTATAAGGTCACCCTGGAGCATTCTCTTCTCCAGGCTGAACAATCCCAATTTGAAAATACTTAAAACATATTGAGGAAAACTATGTTTGTATTTGTTCACGCTTTCCATGTTGATAGAGCAGTGGATGCTAGAAGAATATGCTAGAGTTGATTCCAGAGCTGGATAGTAGGGAAAGTTGTCAGCTGCGTAAATTGTCTCTATTAGTTACAAGCTTAGGTTGTTTTTTCATTTGCATTAGGAAATCAGTACTTCTAGAAACTTTTCTTGTGTGCTGAAGGCTGAATGATTTTCTAAGATGAATTGTCAAAACAGGTAATCTCCCTGATAAGGTGAGTGGTGTTATGCAGGTCATCTTTCTATGGAGAATTTTTCACAGCAGCCAAGATGTACCTTTTAATCACAACAGACTGACCACAGGATAAGGATGCACCTAGAGAACTGAAAATTAAATCCACTCGATCTTGTTCTTGTCCATGGTTATGCAGCACAGGTTTGAAAAATATAGGAAGATAGGCACTGAATGGAGGGAGAGGGAAAACCACTCACAAAATATTAAATTTCAACAGTTTTTGAATTTCTCAATTACCTTCAGTCATTATTCATTTTTTTATTGTACTTTAAGGGTAAATAACGCTTTCTTGGACCGACTCCAGAAGAAAACACAACCTGATAAGAGCTACCAAACTGGATATACTGGACTACCTCATTAATGACACAAGGGTAAGTTTTTGGGTGGAGAACTTGGAAGTAATGAGTTGACTTTTTCTCCAGACACTATTGTGTGTCTGGGGGTGTGTTTAACCTGCCTCACAGAACTTACAGTCCTGGATGGCTGTCCTCAATAGCTTTTAAGAAGGAATCCTGTCTATATATAAGCTGTTCAAATAGGAGGAGGGAGAAACAGTTGCTCTTGTAGTAGAATTCAGTGGCTTTACATGCAAGATACTCACTGCAAGGAACAACATCCAAAGTACTTCCTTAAGTTCAGAACAAGGATGGTGAATTGTTAGGAATTTTTTGAAAATCTTAAAATGAAAGATGTTTGGATATGCTGTAAATATTTTAATATGATACTGAAATTGGAGTGAAAAATCCCATATATGTATATATATATAGTTATTCCCATGTATAGCTGTTCATTTTTTACCCATATAAAATTATGACAAAGAAAGCTCAACAACAACTGGTTTAAAATCAGTATTTTTAAGGATTCTCTGAAGAAAAGCAGTCTTGACTGTAATCTATTAAACATCCATTCATTTTTCAACTGTCCTAATGAGGCATTAATTTGACTGTTGTTTAGAATTGCACTCTTCAGTATAAACAAAAAAATAAAATTATGTGTATTCCCATCATGGAAATTTCTGTCAGGTTGAACTTCCATGGATAAAAGGACCCTAGTGCAGAAATGGAAGAGTTAGGAAGACTGAGCAGCAAAATGATGCGAGTCTAAGAGAATTTAATGAATTGGCCAGTGTAGAGGAAGGTGTTTGGCTGATAAACTAAAAGCTTGAATTGGATTTGTTGGACTATCTGGTGAGGATGCATATGTTGGCCAATGAATGCCAGGAAGACTTGGGTTCAAGCATCTACAAAGTCAAGGCTTAGTTGAAAAGCAGATATTGTTACTGCTGGAGTTTTCCATGTGCTGGAACTGTCTTCATCCCTACAAGCTTTGAACAAGCCCTAGACCACAGCAGAGGGCTCAGGAACCTTGGACTGGTCCTCTTGGTCTTGTGAGAGGAGACAGGACCTGCCAGTTTAGCCTCCCATGAGGTCTGTGAGCAGATGCTTGGCAAACCAGGTGATTAGAAGCTTTACTGGTAAGGTCTGGATCATGTGCCAGGCAGTCCAGAAGTTGCTGGAAGCCAAACTACAGATGTCCAGGCTAGTTAAAGACTGTGAGTAAGACAGCACTGTGTATGGCAGGCCTGAGTCATCTGCTGAAGGACGGCATGTCTACAGATAGCAGAATTAGACTTTGGGTAGGACAGAGCCAACTGATACCTCGTAAAGAGCAAAAGGTGAAGTTTGCTGAATGGTTCCTGGTTAACAAAAGCAACAAGGGCACTTTATCTCTTTTATCCTCATTTGTATACTGTTCCTTGATAAACTCAAAAGGAAATGTGTGACATAGCTGAGATTCCCAATATCTAGACTCAAGCATCTCCATCAGAGCACCTGCCATTGCCACTGGAAACCTTGCCATTGCCTGCAGAGGTAGCAGCAGGGTTTTACCTGTAGCCAGGTGCACGTCCTCTTTGACAGGGCAGATGTTGCTACCACCAAATGAGTGTACTCAGCCCAGGCACAGTTTTAACAACAGATGCCTCTGTGATGTATGCAGCCAATCTGTGGGGGAGTGGGTGAGAGTGTTAAATATATATATTCAAAGAATGCATCAACAAAAACGCAATAAAACCCCATGTGTAGAAATGATTAATTTCCTACTCTGTTGTTTACTTAATGGTTTCCAAGGAGTCTGTCTTCTGTTGAGTAATGCTAGATCCATTTTTCCTTTATGTTGTGATGTGAGATTTGAAGACTTAACAGAGGAGGGAAAGATTAAACAATGAAAGAATATGTCATAATGGAAAGGAATTAAAAATGAGCATTGGTAACTAGTACAAGACAGAAAAATATCTCTCAAAAGATAGGCTGGAGGCAGCAACTTCAGTGTCTTTATAATGAGATTCTTCTCCTTTCCCCAGGGATTTTAAACAAAAAGAACTGAACTCCAGGTGGGGCTTACAAGCCATGTAGTCTGCAGCCTGGCATTTTACATTTCAAGGGAGCTAACTGAAGCAGGTCAGACTATATACTAAGATTAAAAGAAATTAGAAAGGTTCACAAAGTAGAGACCTGCAGGTAATTTTTGAACCTGCTCTGTCTGTAGTGACACTGAAGAGAAAATATTTGTTCTCTTTCCCTCTTTTTTTTTCCTGTTTGAACTCTTTAAAGTCACAACAGCTTCACACTTAACAGAAACTGAACATTGTGCTCTGTTGTTGATGTACCTGCTGTATTTTTCACTGTTATTTCTATTGGCCTGGTTTCCTAAGGAAATGAAGTTTGTATGATAATGCTGTCTGTCTGCACGTAATAAGGTTTTCAAGCTGACGGCCAATCTTAGCCAAATTTGAAAGAGATTATAAGTCTCAAAGATAATTAAATTTCTGTGTGTTTGTGAAAGCAATGACTGGCATAAGAGAGACCCCAAAAAGTGCCCCACTCTGAGAGGTGGTGGGCACTCCTTCAGCTGCAGCCCTCTGGCTGATCAGTGAGGACACAGCTCCTGAGCAGCTGCAGCTCTGCCTGCTTTCCTGGGGACATGGATATCACAAGAGACATAGAGAAAAGATGAGGAAGATGAATATGTAGTGTATGTCTCAGCATGAGGGAGGAGCCCAGCTCCTAATGTCCCCTAATCAATAGGAAATGAGTTTTCATTAATTCAATTGCCTTCCAGACGTTTTGTGGTTTATTAGGAATATTTATAAACTGTTATTTCGAGAAGGATATTCATGAAAGTAATCTTTTCTGCCTTTTTGGTTATAAATGCCAAAACACCTTCTATGTCATTATGAGGTTTCCTAGTTTTAATGGGAAAACAACTTAATGAAGTTCCACTTCTACCTGTGAGCTACTGCAGCCTTGAGAGAACTCTGAGTCTTGTTGCATGCTATTGAGAAAGTTTTGATGTCCTTTCCACTGCCATTGTCTCTGACATAAGGATAAACCTCTCAGGATAGGAGGGTAAAAAATAATGGTTGTCCTTTCAACATCAAAGCTTAATAAATAAGACCATATCATAGAATCATCAAATGGTTTGTGTTGAAACAGACCTTAAAGATTATCTAATTCCACCTCCCCCTGCCACAGGCAGGGACATCTCCCTAGACCACATTGCTTAAAGCCCCATCCAACCTGGCCTGGAACATTGCCAGGGATGGGTCATCCCCTTCTCTGGGCAACCTGTGCCTCTGGATTCCTGTACCTCTCCATCCTCACAGTAAAGAACTTCTTCCTAACTTAGTTGTTACTCAGCTGGAACTTATAACTGAGTCAGTATCTGTTTACTGTAATGGCACAGATTGTCAGTTTTATTTAAATAGTAAAACACTTCTATTGTTACAAAAGAATAACTTTAAAACAGTTGCACATTTTTATATTCAATACTCGTGAGGATTGCCCGTATTGAAGTACAGAGAGATTTGCAGAGGCCAAGTGCTAATACGTGGCAAGCCTGTAACAGAACCCTTGTTTATTTTTTGCATGGAAATGGAGCACTGTCAAGTACCCTTTCGTCTCTTCTGTTAATGGGAGGAGGTCACATGGTGAACATATGAAATTTATAAGTCTGCTCTTCTTTAGGGAAATACTATTTGTCTTGCTGAAACTCTCTGAGCTATAGGAAAACCAGAATCCAGAAAGCAAGATGACATATTACATTTTCCTGTTTCATGTCTCCATTACACCCGGTGTCATGCATAAGAATGAGAAATGCTCCCTTGGATGCTGACTCTGCTCTTTCAGTGGATGCATAATTCTAGATATTTGCTGTGGGAAGCAACTATGCCCTGAAAACACAGGTGCAGTGGGACAGGAAACCCCATTCTCTTCCTTTCCCATGTGCAGAACAGGAAGTCGATAGATGTTGGATAAATCTGTTTTGAGGAAAAATGATTTATGGATAAAACTATTTTAAATAAACATGGTTTGTGGGTTTGCACTTGGTTTAGTTCTTGTAGCATGACCCACGGAAAAATCTTTTCGGAGCATTAACCAGCACTTGGTTTGCTATTTACTACCAGTTGAAGAAGGAGTATGTCATGAAGTTTACTGTTGCACAGCGAAAAGAACCATAGCTCAAAGGCCCCTGAAGTCACAAGAGCAGCATACATGCCACAGGTTTCCATAAACAATCAACCTTTAATGAACTTTCAGAAGGATCAAGTTGCACTGAAAATACTGGTTTCCCGGCACAAAGAAAAAGGTTTTACTTAGTATGGAAATATTGAGAATAGAATGTTTATACAAGAAGGTTCCAGAATGCAATCCACAGTGCTTACATTTGTTTTAATGAAGAATGTGATTCATTAATATAGCTTTAACTTGGTTAGTTTATGTACAATATGAGTTGAAAAGATTATTTTTTTCCTAAAACTGGTTGTTTTCTTGTTAGTTTGTATTTTTCTTTTTATTGAAAGTAATATGCTTGTTTTCCTGACAGAAAGATGACAGAAAATATGGAAACTACTTAGCAGAAGTATCAGGATCAATATAGGAACGTTAGATGAGTAGGTCCAGGCATGCTGTATCCCAGTTTAATGACTTACCTCTGTCAAGGCTGTCAAACATCATATGCAGATGTATTCTGCCTGCCTTGACTTTGAGCTCAATCTTTCTTTCCTTTGGAAATCTCATCCTAAAAGAGAATAGTGGCAGCCTGGGAAGGAACAGAAGAAACTTCTCACTCTTTCAAACTGTGTGAGGTCAAGAAATGACTAAGGTATCTGAAGACATTTGAAACACTCCTAGATGGTTATTTTTTTCCCCAGTAAAAACAAGATACGTCAATACACTCTGCTATTCATATTGAGTTCAAATCAAAGATATGTTTCTTGCTAGAACTGGAATCTTGCAGAACTGCTTACTTGTTATTTTAAGTGGAGTTTCAAAAGGCCAGAAAGGTCTTCAAATAATCCACAAGGGCCACT